CCAGGCAGCACTGCCCACTGTGTAGCAGCTCAGTTGCCCAAGAGCACTGGGGAGCACACGACACCCAGAGTGATAAGCTGCTGGTGCAAGCTGGAAGGTTTCCTAGAGGAAGCAGCCTCCACACTGAGCCTCAGCTGCAGCTCTGGGCAGCAGGGGTCAGGAAGAGGAAGCAACCAGATCGAAGGCTCCTGAAGGTTTGTCTCCCACCCCCAGGCAGAAACTGAGGGCCAGTTTCACCAGCTGTGACCATCCGGGAGAGTGTCCGAGCTGAGCTCCATACTCTATCCTTGGGAGGCAGCTGTCTCCTGCCCAGCTTTCTCCCCTCTCCTTTCAGGACAAACAGAGGTCGCTATACCTCATGTGGCTGGGCCACCGAGGATCAACATTAGTACCCCACCAAGGCAGAAGAGCAGGATATGGAGGAGGCCTGGAGGCCCAGGCTGTTAGAACAGAACATGGGGAAGGAGTTCCTGGCCTCAGACAGGCAGCCGCTGGTGTATTTAGCTGTGCGGCCTTAGGTAAGTAACCTACCCCTCTGAGCCTCAGGGTTCCCAACAACTCCCAGCAAATGGTTTCCCCAGGCAAAGTAGTGGGCCATGATCCTGACTCTGGCCCTATCATGTCCCAGCCACCTCACCAAGGCTCTGTGTAGGGTCAGTGGCTTATGCTGCAGCCAGCACCCATACAGGGCCTAGACAAGTAGGGCTGGGCCTGGCAGCCAGAGACAAACTGTCCACAGAGGCCGAGTCTTCCCATGTGCTCAGAAGCACATGAAGCCTCAGTTCTTTTTGTGTCACTGGGATCACCAAATGACAACAGGGTGGCCCTGCTCCCCACTGCCCCAGCAACTGTGTTTACCCCGCCCTCAGAGCCTGGGATGTCTCCAGCTCAGCGTGGCCAGGAGGAAGAGGTGGTAGACATAGCTGGCTCCACCCATGTGCCAAATGCTGAGCACTGAGGTGGGGGCAGGGGATGACACCATGCCCATTCTGTCTGGCGCCAAGCCCAGCGTGGCCACAGCATCCACCATGCCTTCCCTCTGGTGTCACAGGCCTTCCCTTCTGCAGCCAAATCTACAGGGTCTGAGCAGAAGTGGCAGTGTTGTTTACCACTTGTGTCTTATTCTCCTGATGAGAAGCAGAAGATAGTCACCAATACATGTAAGCTTCCAGAAGCGCCTCTTCGGCCTTGGCCCAGGGCTGGCCACCTGCAACTTACCTTGTCTCTCCTATCCCCAGGGCCTGCCATACCTTCCTGGAGACCTGGTCCCCAACTTTCAGCAGTCTGCAACAAGGTGCCCTCCCAGTCTGGCACTTTGATGGCAGATGAGTGCTTGAATCATAGGAAGTTACCTAGGAGCCAATAGCTGGCTCAGAATGGCAGGGCTGGGAAGGGTTATAGGGCCAATCTGGGTCCATTTCCCAGGTGAGAGGGATGGGTAGCAGAGGGAGGCAGGGAGGCCCTGCCCAGGGCCACATCAGAAGTAGGCTGAGCAGGTACACAGAAGACCAGAACCGCCCATCTGCATCCCAGGTGTGCAGAGGGTCTCATTCCAGCACCCAGGAGTGGTAAGGGAGGCAGACTCTCAAAAGTCATATCACCTTGCAGGCCAGTCCTCCCTGGGGACACCACCCCAGGGGACCCAAGGGCACCATTCGAGAAGTGCTGATCACACTGGCAGGATGTGAAGCATGGAAAAGAAAACCCAACTTTGCATGGGGAGGATTCCAGGCTGAGCCGGGGACATCACCTGCCAGGGAACACCTGGCCCCACTGCCACTCTAGCACATGGGTGGGAAGTGTTCCTGCCTGGCCTCAGCTGCTCCCGCTTCTACCACTTAGCCTGACACAGCCCAGGCCAGCCTGTGAGGCTGCAGGTCCCTGATACCCCAACCACAGACCTCTGTGCAGGGTAGAAAGGCCCTCCCATGGGGGCTCTGAGTTTTGCTACCTCCTGAACCAAATGTTGGTCCTTGCAGATGTATGTGGCCACTTAACCAATGCCAGGCCATGGTGAGGTGCTCAGCCTATGGCAGCAGTGTTTCCAGTGTCCATGGGGCTGTGTCTGAAGTAGGCAGAGGGATCTCAGGACAGCCAGGGGATGAGACCAAGGGACAAAGGCCCCAGAGGAGGTGACCAGAGAAAAAGTCCAAAAGAAAATTCATTTTACAAGAAAACTCAAGTCTTGAAGAGGACAGAGAGAGAGAGACCTCGCCACCAGATCACCCCATCCCGCAAGCCCAGCCTTGTACTCTCCATCCTCCTATCCAATTTTGTTCTCGAATCTGCATGAGAACTGTCAAGTGGCTGCTCAGAACTTCAATGCCAGTGCCTGAGAGGGGATGGGTACTGACAGCCACAGTCAGAGAGATGTGGCCTCCACTTGCAGAAAGGTGACCTGACCAGCTGAGGCACTCGAGGGACCCAGTTGCAAGCTCCATCAATGATTAACTCCATGCAAGGTGCGGACAAAAGCCACTGCAAAGTTCTTGAGGGCTTGAGAAAGCCAGGGCTATGGGAGGTGGGGACAGAAGTGCTGAGTCAGTCAGGTTTGGGTTCAAGAGCTGGGGAGAGGGCAGTTTCCACTCACTGTGGGCCCCTCCACAAAATCCTTCTTCTCAGCCACAATCAGGCTTTCTAAGCATCTCGGCATTCAGGGTAGATGCTGGCTGGACTGAGGCATGTGACCCATTAGGAAGCTGGCTAAGAGTTTGGGGTTCAGCAAACCTAGATCCCCTGTGCTCTCAGTTAGGATGGAGACAAAAAAGGGTCCATAGTGGAGGGGAGGGGGTCAGGAAGCCCAAGCAGGCAAGGTCAGCACCCAGGGACTGCATCCTGCCCCCTGCCCCTGGATGACCATGGGGGACCAGAGCAACACAGGAAGGCCACTCTCCTTAGGCCAGAGCAAGGGTTCCCTGAGGAGGTGACAGGATGTCCGGGTCTGCTTCCCCAGCCACACATGGGAAGGCATGTTCTCAGCCTGCAGCACATTGGCTCCCACCTCTACCTCCAGCACACCAGGGCTGGGAAACCATACTCCCTCCCAGTTCACAATCCATCTTACCAAGGACAGAGCTTGCTCTCTGCCACCATCTCATCTGTCACTTCTGAGAGCAACCTCAAAGTGGTGCCAAGCAAGCTACTTCACAAAGCTGCTGCCAGGCTCCAGCCCCTCTGTACTCCTAACTCCAGGTCAGGCTCAAGTGGCTCATTCCAAGGCCCTTGCCACCTCCTGGAAGCTTTGGGGATGAGGAGGCTACTTCCCAGCCTCAGGCAGGCTACACACTCTGCCCAGCCAGGGTCTACCTGCAGCTACACCTAACATAGGGCTGCAGGTGGTGGTGGTGATGGTGGTGGGGTTTGTGACCACTCACCAGGGCTGGCCACACCTCTCATGGGGTCAGGGCCCTGAGCCAGCCCCACACAGCCACTTCCCTGAAGCATCACTTGCCCACATTCCTCCACATCAGAGAAGCACTCAGCCACCATCCCCAGAAGCCGTCCATGCCTGCCGGCTCCCGGGGAGGCCAGGCACAGGGAGCTCTGCTGAGCAAACTTCCGAGGGCCGAACAATCCAAACCCGGAAGAAAACGCAATGTAAGCAGAGACTTCCTTTGGAGTGTGGCAAGCCTCTTTCTCCACCCAGGCAACAGCTGGAGCTCAGAGGATGCTCATTGGCCAGTCTGCATCCCCAAGATGCCACTGAGTAGATGTCTGAAGGCACTTCACCTTGGTGTGTGGGGCTGCTGGACAGAGAGGTAACAGGGCAGGGTCTTCTCCAGTATCTGATAGTTTGGGGTCCAGCAGGTGAGTGCTGGAAGGCAGGTGACCCACAGGCACAGTGGTACCCACAAGCCTGGGATTTCCTGGTGGGGTCTCTTGGAGTCACTACACATGAATATTCTACAACCTCGACAACCAAGTGCTGCTGCAGCCAGAGGCAGAGCCTGCCTCTCCCACAGAGCTGCCACAGCCCAGGCACCCTCCGATACTTCAGGGGTGACATGGGGTAGGAAAGAGATCTCAAGGTAGCCTCTCTGTGGGGACAGCATGACCTGAGAATTGCCCTTCCTACAATGGAAGGCCAGAATCTCCTGAGCGTGTGTCCTGCTACCCTCTTTTGCAACCCTGGGGCAGCAACAAATGGAAGTAAACAGGTCCCTGAATGGCTTGCCAGCCCTGTTGGCAAAGATGGGTACACACAGCAGTGGGAAGCCACTCCACGCAGCCCTACAGCCTGAGAACGTCAGAGCAGACTCACAGGCAAGAGGCTGGCACGGCATCAAGCAGGCATGGCTGGGCAGCCGGGAAGCAGGGCCACATGGTGGCGGGAAAGGCAGCAAGGAGGGCAGCTTGACCCTTTCCAAAGGCAACTTCCTGTGCACCGTCCTTGAGGAATCAAGTACCCAACCCGCTCAGGCACACCTTTGGGAATGGGAACCACCTGATGGCAGCGCAGGCTGGGTGCTACACTGCACCTGGTCCTGGAACACAGCTGCCTTTGCCGGACGTCTGAAGTGACCCCCCACTCTCTGCAAGGCCCAGGTTTTCACCACCTCGGTTAACACACACCAAAGAACTCTCTATGCCCTGCTGACCCCTCAGGGAACACAAGCGCACCTGTCACCTTGCCCTGGACAGATCCCTGTCCTAAAGAGTCCTCCAGTCTCTGCCTGGTGACCCTCCACTTCTGGGGCTCCTGCTACAGCACCCAAGGGCAAGCTCAGCCAGCTCTCTTCTCTTCCCAAAAGGATTACCACCTGGATTCCCCTCCAGGGAGGGGGGGGAGCCAACTTGTAGGCCGGGGCAGCCCTTCCCCAACTATGTCCCCCTCCACATGTCTGGGCAGGACCTACGGACAGTTTCCCATCCCAGCCACAGCAGCGTCCCTGAACTTCTAGCGAGAAGCGCCAGTGTAGTCGCTGATGTTCCCATGAAACCCTCCTGACCTCTGTCGCAGCTGCAGCAGGTGCTCGCCCTTGCCTCGCGGCGATACTCACACGGCAAAGTGGTAAACGAAGCACTTCCAGCCGGTGGGGCGCTCGAGGAAGTTGTAGACGCGGCCCTGGATGTGGGTGCGCGCGAGCAGCGGCCGGCGCGCGCTGTAGATGGAGACGCGCGGGTCAAGGCTTACCGGCGGCCGCGGGCCGAGCTCCAGCCCGGCAGGGGGCGCGGCGGGGGACGCTGGGGGCGCGGGAGACCCGGGACTCAGGGCGCCTGGAGGCGCGACAGGCGCGTAAAGTGTGCCGCCCGCTGGGCCACCCTCAGCCAGCTCCAGCGAGAAGGGGCACTTCTTGGCCAAGCTGGCGCTGCCCCGCCGGGAGCCCAGCAGACGGCCCCAGCCCCCGCGCTTCCTCTCCGTCCTGGGCGGGGAGGAGGCCGCGGCCATAGCCTGACAGGGGCCGACACCCGAGTGGTGGCACCTCGAGCTGCGGCCAAGACGGGCGCCCGTGCACAGTGCAGGCTACCGCGGATGCCAGCCCCGCGGGAGGGGCTGGGGGCGGGGCCGGAGGGGGCGGATCTCAATAGCCGGTCCCCAAGGGATGGCAGGCCCCGCCCCGATCTGCGCCCCGCCCCCAGCCGCCCAGAGCGCTTTGGGAGCCGCCATCCGCTCCCACCTGCAGGCCTAGCTCTGGTCACTGGCTTGGTCCTACCCTCACCCCCGCCCACCTGCTTGCCCTTTGGGGGCTGGCGCCCACCTGTTCTACCTTGTTCGCGTGCACGTGCTTGCCCCTACTCACACCTACCTGTTCTGCCCAACTCCTGGGGAGCCAAGCCTCAGAGGAAAGCTCCAAGCTGGCAGTCTAACTGTGCAGTCGGAGCGGGATAGGATGTGGGCACCAACTTCATCGTTCAAGCCCCTCTGGGGACAGAGTAAGAAGCAAGAGAGAAAAAGGGCCCCCTGCGGCACGCACAGACCATCCAGGCAAAAGTAAAAGGCTATGTGGAAGGCTCTAGCCTCCCCCGGGTGCACGCTGCTAGTAGGGAATGAATTCCAGTCGCTTCCCACTGGTCCTAGTCCCCTGAAACTGGGAAAGGGAGAAAGGGTCGTCTAGTGATGGTCCTGCACAGCCCTGTAGGAGCCTGCAGAGTTGCTGGGCATGTTGAGCAGAGCCACCTGGGCAGGTCAAGGGAGAATTGTTTGCATCTGCCCAGGAACTGAGAATGAATACTTCATCCTCTTTGCTCCAGAACTAGGCTGGCTGTACCCTGAGGTTTCCCCAGCTGGGAGAGAGAAGTGCAGGAGTGAGTAATGGGGTGTGAAGATTTAGGCTAGTTCCCCATTACTCCAAGTTGCACTGGTGTTTGGGAGTAGCAGCAAACAGAAAAGACTCGCCTACATGACATTCACCTCACTCCTCTCTGGCTGAGAGGGGACAGAATCACTGCTGTGTTCAGGGAGAGCCTGGTGGGGCTGGTTACTCATGCACTGATTGCAGGTCTTCACTGGGCATGCTGGGCTGGCCCCTGTAATGTGTTCACACCAGGAAGTCTCAGGGGTGGGGAGTTGAGTTCAGTTCCTGGTCCTGGGCCACCGGCCCCGGGCTCTGATATGTAGTGGTGCTGCCCACAGCAAGACACAGTAGTCCCAGCCTGTTGTGTGGGGGTGGGGGTGAAGGAGGATGGTGAATCTTTTGGTTTTCAGTGATTCAAACAGCCTGCTGCAGTCCATGTGTCATAGATTCACGACTAATGGACAAGGGAGGCTCGGGACCAAGCTAGGGACACTTGTAGGGACACATCGCTTAAATCCAACATGGGCAACCCCGAGAAGGGCCACACTACCACTGAAAGACACATAATAGGCATTCAGTAAACCCTTTGGGGGGAATTACATGCATGAGTGACCAGTGGCTACACCTTCAGGGCAGCAGAAAGATGATGAGCATTCAGTAAGTAAACAGTGTTAGGACAACCGGACAGATAGAGAAAGCAAGACGAAGGTTAGGCCAGGCCCACTTCTCACACTACACACCGGAGTAAATTTCCAAATGAGTCTGGGGTTTCAGTGAAAAGGCTGAGATGAAACCATGCAATTCTATAAAAAGGAATGGAAACCACGAATGGTGGCACACACCTGCAGTTCCAACACACAGGTGGCTGAAGCAGGAGGATCACTGAATTCAAGGACAGCCTGAGCTACATAGATCAAGATGAGACTGAACAATGTAATGAGACTTTGTTTCCAAAAATGTGGGGTGAATTCCTTGACAACCTGTGGACAGGGAAAAGGCTTACAAATACTTTTTGAAATCCAGAATCAGTAGATAAAAGAACAAAAAAAGAAAAGAACCCCACCATTGGCAAAGATAAGAGGCAATCTGGGAAAATATTTGCAATGTTTATTGCAAACATAGGATTAGTATGGCTGATATATAAAGAACATCTAAAAGAAGGAAATATCAGCCTTCTGGGAAAGTGGGCAAAAGATATGAAAAGTGCACAGAAAAAGAAGTTTGTGGCCTTTGCACTTATGAAAAAAATACTCAACCTCACTCACAAGAAAAATGCAAATTATAAGTACACCCTGATACCATGCTTGCCTATCTGATTGGCAAAACTTCAGAAGTTTGAGGGCACAGACTGCAGGAGAAGCCAAGGCAGCAGGTGCTCTCCTTGTCATCCGTGGGAAGGGAATTCTGGCAATACAGCAAGCAACAGTACAGGTACTGTTTGACCTGGAAATCCCATTGCTAGGAACTAATCCAGAGATAAGCAAGAAAAATAAAAAATAATATACTTAGGGTTATGCGTTGCAACACTACTTGAATTAGCAGGATACCAAAAGCAACCACGGTGTCCTTCAGTTGATTTAATTATGCTGTGGAGCCACATAATGGCACATGTGATTAATGGTATCACTAATATTCAAATGACAAAAGGAAGCTGAAGAATCATACTCTTACTAATATTAGTGCATTTGTCCCTTGGAATCCTCAGAGGATGGGTCCCGATACACTTTGTTAATCCCAAAATCCTCAGGATGTTAAATAAAATAGTGTAGTATTTGCATAGAACCTATGTACATTCTCCTGTATCTCTGGATTATTTATAATACCTAATACGATGTAAATGCTATGCAAATAGTTCTTATACTGTATCGCTTAGGGCATAATGACAAGAGAAGGTCTGTACATGCACAGTCAGTACGGATACCATTTGTTTTTCAAATATTTCCATCAGGGGTTGGTTGAATTTGTGGCTGCAGAACCCACAGATACAGTGTTGGTTGTATTATTATGTTGTTGTTTCTTAGGAACCAAGATATCCAGATAAGAGAAACAAGATCATGATACAAACATTTAAAAAAAGAGAAGCCAATCCTTAAATCTGAATTAAGAAATAGTAGCACAAACTCATCAACTATTTTGTATTAAAATTATTTCCTAGCTGTTCACTGAAAAGGATCTGATCCAGAGCAGAATGACTTGAGCATCAAAAAGCATTAGAATTACACCTGTCCAGGATCTTTTAAAAACCCTACATTCATAGAGACTGAGACCTTGCTCAGTGGCTAGTGGAAATGCACCTTCCCTGTGCAAACTTCAAGGTAAAAATGCCATGCCTGTCAGAGGTACCCATTGAAGAATGTGTGGACAGAACTGTGTAATAGATGGAAATTGCTTCAGAATAACTGGCAGGGAGTGGGGAGGCAACTGGTGATTAAACAAAACTGCGTGTGATTCGAGGATTGTTGAAGCCCAATGGTGAATTCATTCATTATACTGTGCCCTTTGCTTTTGTGTATGTTTCCATCATAAAAAAATTATGCTAATAGCACCCTAAACCCTGAGGAGGCCCTTGGAGGCCCCCTAGGCTGTCCTGGAGCCAGCAAGAGGACAAGTGAAGGCTCTTGGAGAACCTGCCCCAACTACATAGCAGCCTGCTCTGGGGCCACTGAGGCAGGTGGGAGGCAGTTTTGGGGGTTGCTGTGAGCTCCCTACAAGCTCCAAGGAGCTGGGGAGGAGGCAGCCAGCAGGGCTGAGAGGTGGGAGCAGAGAGGAAGGTGGCTGGCCAAATGCACAGGTGAGGTTAAGGGCTGGGCAGGGCATGACTGGTAAGGTAGATGCTGAGGGTAGGGAGTGTGGGCCAGTGGCGGGTGGAACAGGAAATGCAACAGGCCTGCTCATTGGTGGGCAGCAGGATTTGGCACAGCCCATGGCCACTCGGAGTTAATGAAGGAGTGAGGTGTGTCCCCTGACCTCATCAGCTCAGGGTGACATAGCCAAAGACTCGGGGATAAATAGAGAAGGAGAAGGGGGAGACTACTCAGTCGGCCATTCAGTTATTAGGTGCCAACTGAATTCCTAGCCACACTTGGTCACAAGGAAGGGACAGAGAAGTATAAAGCAAGACCTCCAGCCCAAATAGTGATCTTGTCCATGAGCCATACGAACCTTACATGCCATGTAGGTTGCTTTGACAACCCCCAACCCCACAGCTGCCCAGAGCTGTGAAAGAAAGCCCTGTTTCCAGCGTGATGGCATCGTGAGATGGGCACTGACCAGTTCATCTCTGTGCATTCAGGCACTGAGGAGAGGTAGTGACTGCTGAGTATCGAGAGAGTGGACAGTGACTGGGAGATAGATTGATGAATGGATGGGTGGATGGGTAGATGGGTACATGGGTGGATGGATGGATGAGTGGGTGGGTGGATGGGTGGGTGGATGGATGGATGGGTGGGTGGATGGGTGGATGGATGGATGGATGGATGGATGGATAGGTGGATGGATGGATGGGTGGGTGGGTGGATGGGTGGGTAGATGGATGGATGGATGGATGAGTGGGTGGGTGAATGGATGGATGGATGGGTGGATGAGTGGGTGGATGGATGGATGGGTGGATGAGTGGGTGGATGGATGGATGGGTGGGTGGATGGGGGGTGGATGGATGGATGGGTGGATGGATGGATGGATGGATGAGTGGGTGGGTGGATGGATGGATGGGTGAGTGGATGGGTGGGTGGATGGACGATGGATGAGTGGGTGGGTAGATGGGTAGATGGATGGATGAATGGATAATAGGTGGATGGACACGTGGATGGATGAGCGGGTGGATAGGCTGATGATACACAGGTAGACAGATACATGCATGGATGGGTGATAAATAAATGCACGGTTCTGGGTAAGAAGGTAAGCGTGGGACTAATGAATGTGTAGGTAGGTGAGGGAGTGTATGACAGACCGGCACGCAAACCACTCTTCCTTCAGTTATTTACAGAAATCTTACCTTCCCGATGAGCTCTTTTTCAATCAACAGGCTCCAAACTAGGCGTGGTGATGCATCGATAATTCCAATTATTGGGAGGCTGAGGCAGGTGGATCGCCGCAAGTTCAAGACCACATAGTGAGTTCAAGGCCAATCTGAACTAAACAGGAAGATTCTGTTTCACTAAAACAAAAAAAAAGTAAAGTAAACAAACAAATAAATCTAATACACTCCACCCTTTTTTTCTCCCTACCTATATTTTTCTTCCTAGCCATTTGAGTAACTTACATTCCTTATTTCTCATCTCTTTCCTTATCCGTTATCTGTGTCTCCCTGCACCTGCCACAGGGCCTGGCACATGGAATTTGCTCAGTAAGTCGATGTTGTGTGGCCAAGTGGGTCCAAGGAAAGGCTGGGTAGGGGCAGGTGGATGGCCCACAAGTGTCCACACTGCAGGAGCATAACTCTGCCTTTGCCCCAGACTGGGGGGGGGGGGGAAGCTGTGCTCCTCCACCCTGATGCCCATACCCTACAGCTACAGCTGCCCCTCAGAGCCAGCCCCCCAGTCCTATACTCTGCAGACTCTCACAGTGGGTGCAGCACAGTCTACACTACACAGCATGTCTACACTGACATACTCAGCACACACAGGCCCTTGTGTTCCACTCTTGATCAGGGTCTGTCTGGTCCCCTGGTGGGTTCTCACAAGCCCTCCAAGGTGCTCATTATCATTGTCCCCATTTCTGGGGACCTGGGGTCCTGGATGGCTCCAGAATGGCCACCGGCCCTGTGTATTCCATGTATAGGGAGTGGACACAGTTTACATAGACATGTGTGGGGTCCATACACAGACCACAGGTCTCAGGCATTGCTAAGCCCTCCTCTGTTGGACCTAACCTGCCCCTGCTGGCCCAGCTGGTTGGGCTGCCCAGTGTGCTGTTGGAGGATCCTTTATGTGCCAAGTGCCCTGTGCAGGGAGTGAGGTTGGGTTAGGGCTTCTTCCTGGCTTTAGAGCTCAGGACAAGGTGGTAGGAGGAGAGGATGGGGGCCATGAGGCCTGGCCTGGCCATGGGCTGGGCACTTTGCCTCTCTGGCCTCTGTCCCCTCCCATGGGATGCCCCTTCAGGGCTGATGGATGGGCTAGATAGAGAGATGGTACACCCAGGAGAGCAGTGGTTACAGAAGTGAGCTCTGCAGATGCCACCTCTGTGACCAGAGGGCAGAAGTCCACTGGACAGGGCACAGCCCTGAAGTTTTGTTGCCTCCAGTGCCCCCTGGCCTCCATCTCTCCCTTTCAGGGTCACTGATTCCTGTGCAGAGACCACAGACAAGGGTCTAATGTGCTGCACACAGATCCTGGGCTGAGGTAAATTTGCTGGCCACCTTGGAGAAGACTTGGCAATGGTCAGAAGGGATGGGACCCATGCAGGGCTACTGCACTGTGGGTATTGTCACAAGGACAAGAGACAGCAGGTCACTGAGAGGTAAGACAGCAGGAAGTCAGGACAGGGAGCAAGGAGCCCTCTGCTTCCTGGGGGCAGTGGGAGGGCTGAGTTCAGATGACCCGTCAGTGGGGGAGGGGACAGACATGTGGCTCCACTGGGCCCCAGCTTTGGGCTGCAATGCTGGGGACTTAGGGTCAGCCCAGAGGCCTTGGACAGTAGCCTTGGACAGGAGACAGCTGTGGCTGTCTGGGGGCACCAGCCACCTCCCCACTCCCAGCCCAGGCCCCATAGGTTCAGATGGAGGTGCTGGTCAGACAGACTCCAAATGGATTCCCTCCATTTGCATAAAGAGGAGATGTGTTACAAGCTGTAAATCTCCCTCCAAATTCAACACAGTGCAGTCCCCAAGGGGGGGACTGTAACCAGGGAGGAGGGAGGCTGCTATAATTGCAGGCTGGGACCACCTCAGCCCTGTCCTCTCCAGCCCAGCCCAGACCTGGCAGAGAAGGCTCAGCCACCTAGCACTTGGGCTGGCTTGTAAGCATCTGCCCCTGGGCTCCCACCACAGGTGTGGGGCTGGACGGGTGGGACGCTGCAGTTAGCTGAGGGCCCACATCCGAGGGACCCTCCCTGTCCACACAGAGCACTGTGTGGGCAGAGACTGATCCCTGCCCCCCACACCTACTGATAGACACAGGCCCAGACACTCACCCACTAACTCGCTTCTTCATTGGTTCCTGCAAACGCTTCTGAGCACTCGCCCTGTGCTGTGTGCAGTGGTGAGCATCCCAGGTCTGGCAGTCTGCTCCAGGAAGCAGAGGCAGGCAAGCTAATGCAGAAAAGAAAGGTCATGAGCTCTGGTGAGGCTCACTGAGGAGTAGCACTGGGGTGCATGGGAAGAAAGCCGGTGGGGAGGGGCCAGTGCTGGTAGGGTCTGGGCCGAGGGGATCTCTGAGGAAAAACGTGGGAGCTGAGACCCAGGTGACAAGAAAGAACTGGTGGGAGGAGCTCCGTGGAAGAGTACCCCCAATCAGACAGCAGAAGCAAAGGTATCAAGGACCCTTCGAATTTTATCAACAGAGTAATAGGTAGCCATAGAGGGTTGTAGGCAGGGAGAAGACCTGGTACCAGAATGGGGTGACTGGATACCTCACCTCTTTGGGTATCTAGAAGATAAGCCAGCCTTTTCAGAGGTGGAGCAGCAGGACCAGGACAGAGTGCTAGAAAAGACTTTCCCCACCCCCAACAGGCTTGGAGCTCTGGGGGTCCCCTTGTTTTCCAGACACTGGCAGAAACCAGTGCCCAGGCCCCAAGCTGAGGCGTGGGGGGTTTTCTGAGGCCCCAGTGAAGCCAGTGCCCAGGGCCAGGGTCTCGCCCTTCTGCCCACGGCCCACAGATGGATCCCCCCTCAGAGGCCCCCTTAAGGGCTAGTGAATTCCCGTCCTGAAGCCCGATGTGGTCTGGACCCCCCGCCAGCCCTGGAGGCACGCAGACAGGAAGCCCTTCTCCTCTCTGGTTGTGGCTGACTGAGCCAGGGCCAAGTGGAGCTCAACCCAGCCCAAGGCGGCTGCAGCCGGAGCAACCCAGAGTCCTAGACCCCCATGGCAGGCCACTGCGATCCTCGGGCGCCCTCTGGGGGCCATGCATGGTCCTGGACACCATCGCCACCCCTAGGGGAAACCATTAGGAGGGAAGCCTTGGGCAGGGGGTCCTGAGGTTCCTTGAGGAAGAAACACACAGAAGCATCATCCAGGCTCTTCTTTGTGTCTCCACCTTTCCTAGGAACCAGCTATCAGGGTCCTCAGTTTACAGGCTTAAAAGATGGCCTTCTAGTGAGCTTGGGGGTGAGCAGGACAGGAACCCAGGACCGGGGCCAGAAGGTGCATAGACACTGTCCAGTGCACTGTACTGCCTGGACACAGGGATAGTCCCTGCCTGCCCAGTGAGTGGATGTCACCCACACTCACCCATAGCTGTGCACTCTCCCAAGGGTGCAACACATCCACCGTGGGGCTGATGTCTGAGGTCTCCAGGGCTGTAGGAGGATCAGTTCCTCCTCCCCATTCCACTGGGATGACTGGGCTCAGTGCCCAGAGGTGGGTCATGTGCCATGGGGCAGCTCCTATTCTCCCTGACCAGGGAAACTGAGGCTCAGGGTATGATACCACAAGACAGCCCAGGTCCTGGGCCACTCCAGGCTTTGCCCACAAAGGGATATCACTGGTCCAGGTAGACTGGCAGCCACCCCACACAGGGTCACCTCTCAGGAGTGGGCGTGGCCTCCAGGTTGTGGGGACCAGTAGGCAGAGGAAGGTCGGCCCTCAATGGCCAGGTGACGCCCTGTGTATGTTCACAACCAGTGTCCCGGGGAGGCATTGGCTGCCCGGTTCCAGGCGCAATGGGCGTGGAGGAAGAGGATGAGTGAGGTGCTGGACTTCGGGACAGCCTGCCTGTGGGCAGACGGCTCCTCCCTCCTTGGCTGGCAGCTGCACCAGGCAGAAAGCAGGCAGGTAGGGCCTCCAGGTGGGGAGCAGGGCAGGGGAGTACCCACCTCCTACAGGGCAGATAGGGCAGGTGGGCAGGAGGGGAGCTGGGCCAGGACTGTTGGCATTGGCAGCATCCTTGCCTCATTCCCCAGTTTCTTCATCTCTGAAAGAGGGAGAATCCCTCCCTCCTGGGCCATGGAGAGACAGACCCACCATGGGTGAGGGGAGGGGCTGCTGGTGTTGGGGAGGGCCTGGGTGCAGGGTGACTCTGAGCCTTGGACTCCAGGAACAGTGTCTTCTCAGGAGCTGGGAGGCCAGAGGTGGGGTGAGGGGTCACTGTGGGCAGGTTGGGCTGCAGGGTCACAGCCTGTCTGGGGAGCCATCACTGGGTGGCCAAGGGGCAGGAGGTGGACTTCATACCTGCTGCACGCTGGACCCTCTCTGGTCCCTTCTTGTTACCTCTCATCTTCCCGCATCTCATGGGTGATGCCCGGGGAGACTCAGGAACCTGCCAGAAGTCACAGGTGGGAGGTGGGGGACAAACTGGGCTGGCAATCTGACTCTGCCCCACCATGGGCTCATCCACTGCAAGGGAGAATGGGGCAAAGTGTGTTTGGTCCCAGCTATTTCCATGGTGGCCTTTGGAGAGCAGTGGCCACCTGTCTTATTGCCTTCCCTACCCAGGGCCAGAGGTCTGTCTTGGTTTTCCACTCAGAAGTTCCAGGACGGGCTACTGACCAAAGGCTAACTAGGGCCCTGGCTTCTGCTCCCCACCCTTCCAGGAACACACAGGGAAGGGGCACTGAAGACTGGGACACCTGCTAATGCAAATCCCTGTTGTTTGCATAATTTCCCTCTTGGGGGCCACATTTGCCTCGGGCTTGGCTCCTGCCCAGCTGCCCCTTGGCGCCTGCCTGAGGAGAGAGGTGTGGGTGCAGGGTGTTCCTCGTGGTCTGAGGGAAAGTGAAGCCACTCTGTTGGCACTGGGCCTCCCTACTGGGCTTCCCCAGCAGCTTCCAAAGACCCAGGTCACCCTTCGGGTCCTGGGGATCACCCTGGGGTCCTGCAGGAAATCTGCTGAGCCTGAGGATAAGAGCTTGCTGGGGGGGGGGGGCAGGGGAGCCCTTTAGGATCCCATGAAAGTGAAGCTTTCAGCAGGGTGGCAGAACTCTGGACACTGCCTGGGGCTTACTGACACCAGGCAGTCATCCAGTGAGGTGCTGGGGGCCTAGAGGTACCTGCAGCGACCTGCCTCTGTGTCACACGGGCCAGCCTTCTGGGTCCCCATCACCTAGCATGAGGCAGAAGGGCTTGGCCTCACTTGGTAGTTGGTGAGCGGTGATGCTAGGCAGCCTCTTCTCCTTCTACCACTGACCAGGACTTGGTGAGAAGAGGCGGGTGGCTTCCTGGGCAGTGAGTGTGCCCCCCAAGTCATCCCCAGTCCCCCACACCTGAGTGGGGCAAACCTAACTCATCTCTGGCCTGAGAGGGACAGAGGTGGGAGAAAGTTGGCTTTGTAGCGAGCAGACTGCTAGTCCCACACTAAATCTTTGGGGGTTTCTAGAACAACCCTGAAAACCTCTCCAGAAGATCATTGACCGGTGTTGCTGAGCCCACATACCTGGGGGAGGGTGTGTGTTAGGACAGGCAAAGGGGCCCAGATTTGTCCCCCATTCTCACCTGAGAAGGAACCTGTCCCAGCCACACTCAAACAGAGGCTCTGCTCCTGACAAGGTCTGCAGCAGGGGCCAGCTGGAGGGGCTGCCGCTGGGCCACACATGGCCTCAAGTCCCTAACTCTGCCAGCATGTTGGGCAGGGCTGGGGAGGGGAGCTCCCCCTGTCAAGGCAGCTGTGGCCCACAAAAGGAAGGACCAGGGGCCTGGTTTCTTCATCCTCAAAGGTCTGTGTCCTTGCAGAGAAGCCACCATGCAGCCTGCCAAGGGCTCCTATCCTAAAAGTCCCCCAGATGCTGCACCCAGGCAGGTGCCAGGCCTGTGCCGGGGTGAAGTTGACTTTGGAGGATCTGGGAAGAAGAGAGGCAAGGTAGGGGGACCTCACCTGAGTGAATTTACCACACCCAAAGCCCTGGGTCTGAACTGGGAGTGCTCACCCATCCAGGGGTCACTTCCCCTGGGCCAAGCTCCAAGCCCCCAGGCCAGATGGGCAGCATCTGGGAGCAGGAGTGACACTAGCTGTTGCCTGATACCCTCCAGCAAAAATAGGAACTGTAAGGGTCCACCTGAGAGGTCCAGAAAGCACTGGGGTCAGGTGTATCTGGGTCCCTCTGCCCCGCCTCTCGACTATGGAGGGAGCCACACTTCCCCTGGATGGCAATCGCCTGGCCACATGGAGGTCCAGGAAGGACCTGCTCTGCCCCAAAGGCCCTCAGCGGTCTCTCTCCTTGTCCTACCCACCCCATCTCTCTGTTTCCTCCCTTGGTACCCAGGTACCCCTGTACCCTCAGTTCCTCCAGCCCCCAAACTGAATCCCTTGCACCCTCTCCCACAGTTCGTGAAGGTGCCCAGCAGTGTGGCTCCCTCTGTGCTCTTCAACCTGCTGCTCACCAAGTGGCACCTGCCAGCCCCCAACCTGGTAGTATCCCTGGTGGGCGAGGAGCAAGCCTTCCCCATGAAGGCCTGGCTGCGGGACGTGCTGCGCAAGGGGCTGGTAAAGGCGGCTCAGAGCACTGGTGAGGCTCCCGCTGTTGCATGCCCGGGGCACGATGGAGCCCCTGGGGCCTCCACCCAGCCTCTACAGCCTTGTTATTTCCCACCCTTGGCCCCTTGGTACCCAGGGCTGCAGAGACCATGGGCCCTGCTCCACCATGGGCTGCCTCTCCACTCCCAGGGCCCACAGGCCTGGGGGAGGCCTCCACTGCCACGTGCCCACATCAGTGCCTGAGGTATACCCAGGGTGGGGCCTACGTCACCCCTTGTGTGCCCTGGTCATTGATGTCACAATCAAGTTATAGATCTTTATTCTGTGTATAACTCTGCCTATAGGTGCTCAGTAGGAGGACCTGGGACTTCTAAATTCCTCCCTGCAGAACTGATCACAGGTCAAATGGTCATGGCTGCAACCAGCCACGGCTGAGGGCTTTGCAACCAGAGTCCTGGCCCAGCAGGAGTTTGGGTCAGAGCTGTGTCCTGCTGTGTGCAGGTTGTATGTGGCCAGTGGGAGGACTACTGCTTAGCCAGCCCCAAGCTGGTCAGTGGTCTTAGGCAGGCTTCTGGTCCTCTTGAGCCTCAGTTTCCCCACCAGCACTTCAAAGCACCTGAACACTGCTCCCAGGTCATTGGCCATGGTTGGCCCAAGGGCTCAGGACCAATCTGCGGAAGCTGGGCAGGTGGGGAGGACATAATGACCCTTCCCTCACGCCACCTCTGTAGGTGCCTGGATCCTGACCAGTGCCCTCCGTGTGGGCCTGGCCCGGCATGTCGGGCAGGCTGTGAGTGACCATTCCCTGGCTAGCACATCGACCAAGGTTCGCGTGGTGGCCATCGGCATTGCTTCCCTAGGCCGCATTCTGCACCATCGGCTTCTGGACGATGCCCAGGTGAGTGACTGGCTCGCAATACAGTCACAATACCTGAGAGGCTGGAGAGAGATGGACAGGCCAGTCCCTGCCCTCAGGGTTTACAGGGGTGGGCGGGCCCTGCAGGATTGGGAGCATGGGCACAAGACTCCAGCTGGAGAAGTGGGTTTAGTGGAGCGCGGGGGTGCAGAGCTAGAATACACCACCAGGTGGCAGCACTACTCAAAAAGACAGACACTGTAGGGTGGACCAAGGTGGTGCACGGCCAGAACACACCACTAGGTGGCAGCACTACTCAAAAAGACAGACACTATCTGGACCAGGCTGGTGGTGTCCATATGGTCCCAGCCCCGCACTGTGAGGCAGGGATGATCCCGCAACAGTACCCAGGCTGCTTTCTGAGGGCTGAGCCTTGTCTGTCTCCCCACGTGTCACAGGAGGACACCCCCATTCACTACCCTGAGGACGATGGTGGCAGCCAGGGCCCCCTCTGCCCTCTGGACAGCAATCTCTCCCACTTCATCCTGGTGGAGCCGGGCACTCCTGGGAAGGGGGATGACCTGGCAGAGCTGCGGCTGAGGCTGGAGGAGCACATCTCCCAGCAGAGGACGGGCTATGGGGGTGAGGCGCCCACCTGCTGGGGAAGCTGCCACGAGCAGCAGTGGGGAGGGGCCCTGGGGAGAAGGACCTGAGCCTTCCTGGCAGGAGGTCCCTGACCATGCCACTGGAGACTGGGCTGTCTGGGGCCTGGCCTCACTAGTCAATGACATCCCTGCCAGAAGATGGTCACAGCTCTGTCTTCACTGGGTCTGCCCTGTCTGTCGGCTCTGGCTGTGGGCATGCGGCTTTAAGAAGCAAAAAGAGACCAGGGATGGTGATGCATTCTTGTAATCCCTGCATTCTGGAAGGCAGAGGCCGGAGGATCTCACTTGGAATCCAAGCTGTGCCACTGAGAAATTTAGGGAGATCCTATTTCAAAATAAAAAGAAAGGAAGGAAGGAAGGGCTGGGAATGTGGCTCAGAGTGAAGGCCCTGGATTCAGCACCCAACAATGAGGTTGGAGTGCGGCACAGGAAACAAGAAAGAAAGGGAGGGAGGAAAGAAGGGAAGGAGGGGCAAGAAGAAATGTGTAGTTTTAAGAAGCCTGTGTCCCACCACTGCCCTAACGCATATCGCCACCAGAGGGCAGCATTGCGCAGCAAGGGGAGCCTCTGTGGCTGGGTTTGCCAGGAAAATACCAGTGTGTGGGGGCGGGAGAGTGGGCGCGCGCGCACGCGTGCATTTTAATTTATAAATACAAGATATAATTGTTTATAATAAGTACGAGTAGTTTATAATATAAATAAACAAAAGTACAATCCCTTGGTAAGCCAACTTAGCAAGATGCACTTTTAACAATGAGAAGCCAAAGTATCCAGTTCCAGCAACATGTGGATAGAATGTCCAGTCCTGCCGGCCAGTACCGTGGGGCCTACACTTAGTTCATCTTTCAACCTCAGTCACTAGGCACCTTTCCTTATTGGAAGGGTCCTTGCTAGAGGGTCAGCTTCCCAATGGGGGAGAGTTTAGTGATGTGCTCTGCATAGAAGACCCAGGGAACGCAAACTTCTCTGGGGGCTTTGCAGGTAGAACCCCATTCTCAGCTCCAGGCCAGGGGGCTTGAAACACTCCCCTTCACTGTTTGATCTACTCAGCGCATCTCCTGAGAGCCCCATCCAGGGCAACATTGTGACCCAGGGCAAAAAGAACGGTCTGTTTCTTCTTTTTTTTTTTTTAATCGTTACCAGGGATCGAACTCATGACTGCCTGCTTGCAAGGCAGGTGCTTATGCCGCTGAGCTAAATCCCCAGCCCCCTTCTGTTTCTTTATATTACTTGATGTTGGAATTTGCCATGAGCTGACTGTAAGTGACCATCTTGGACAGATGTAAAACTGCAGTCCCGATCCCCAGCCCTGACGTTTTCATATTCAGCTTAGAGTCCATTCTTTATTAGAAAAAAATCTTTCACCAGCTGTGCCGAGTGCTTGAGGCCTTGAGGTCAGGGTAGCCACTCACGTCCCCAGGAGCTCCCCCAGCTCCTTGCCCATTATCCTGGTTCATGCTGAGCACTGAGAGACCTCACAGATTCTTGTTCCTAGGCACCAGCAGTATCGAGATTCCTGTTCTTTGCCTGCTGATCAATGGTGACCCCAGCATCCTGGAGGTAGGGGCTGAGTTCCTCAGGAGGGTGTGGTGGTTCCACAGGGAACCCTGGGACAAGGAAAGAAGGGGATCCCCCGCCCCCCATGTGCATCCAGGGGCCAGCTGTGTTGACCAAGTTTTGCTCTGCCTTCCCTGCCTGCTCAGCGGATGTCCAGGGCTGTGGAGCAGGCTGCCCCATGGCTGATCCTGGCAGGCTCAGGGGGCATTGCCGACGTGCTTGCTGCCCTGGTGAACCAGCCCCACCTCCTGGTGCCCCAGGTGGCTGAAAAGCAGTTGAGAGAAAAGTTTCCGGGGCAACATTTCTCCTGGGAGGCCATCATGCATTGGACCAAATTGGTAATGGGATCCCCGGGGCTGAGGGTGGGTCCTCTGGCCATCTCTGTCCCCCAGATCTCCTCCTGGGATGGGGCTGGTCTTTAGGAAATGCCTCGCAATGCAGTCTCTGTACACATCCTTGCCACCTGGTACAGGTCCTTTGCCTACACCTGCCAGGCCCTTGCGGGGCAGGGGCCCTTGGCAGGCGCCTCTGCCCTAGTCTGTGGGTGGTTGTGAGCAGGACTCAGCAGGTAAAGGGTGATGTCCACCCATCTGGGACTCTGCTGGGCTCCGCGCCCTACCATGAGGCTGTCCTCAGCTGTCCTGCTGTCCCCAGCTGCAGCATATCACATCGCACCCGCACCTGCTCACTGTATACGACTTCGAACAGGAGGCCTCTGAGGACTTGGACACGGTCATCCTTAAGGCACTGGTGAAAGGTGAGGCATCCTTGGCAGCAGTGGTTAGAGCTGTGGGATTCTGGCTAGTGTCTGTGGTGGACACGTAAGTGTTCAGTTCAGCGGTTCCCATCTACTCACTGTGTCACTGGGTGGTGGACCTAGCACTATTTCTGGAATATTCTCACAAAGAAACCTGTGCCCACAACCGACCAGTCATTCCCGGTCCCCCAACCCTGCCAACCATCTGTCCACTTCAGCCTCTATGAATTGAGCCACCTGCAGCAGCTCGTATGAATGGAATTTGCAATAGGAGGCCTCTGTGTCCAGCTTCTTTTGTTTATCATGGTGTCCTCAGGTCCATCTGTGTTGTAGAGTGTGACTAGAGTATCCTTCCTTTTTATTTTTTGGTTTTTTGAGACAGGGTCTCACATCTTACTATGTGATCCAGGCTGGCCTTGAACTTTTAAGATCTTCCTGCCTCGGCCTCCTAAGTGCTGGGATCACAGGCGTGCATCACCATGTCCATCTGGTTTCCTTCCTTTTCAAGGCTGTGATGACATCCTAGTGTGTTTATGTACCCTGAAGCTGACCCACATATTTGATTGTCACACATGTGCTTTCCACTGAAGCCAAATGTGCTGTGGGGCTGAACTCAGGCAACCTCGGGTGACCTTGAGCAGGGGCACACAGGCCCAAGCCTGGGAGGGGCAGTGCCAAGCAAGGGTGGGCACATACTTGGGTGAAGGTCCCCTCTACTTCCTATCTGACTGTGAGGCCTGGGGGACCCCATGCAGACACCCTCCTACTTCCCAAAGGCAGCCTGGGAACTCGATCTTTGCTTCACAGTCAAGGGCACAGAGGCCTATATGCTTCACTCACCCCAGTGACCGACAGGACCAGGTCCTTCCCTGACCCTTCCCCATGGTAGAACCGTGACCTTGTGGGGCCATAATGCCCCATCCATGGCAGAACCGTGACCTTGTGGGGCCATACTGCCCCATCCATGGCAGGGGCTCTTGGACCTTTCGTGCTAGGATGTAGCCCCAAGGCCTGGATGTTAAGTACTGGAGACCCAGTTCCTGGGAGGCTCTCTTCCACTTCACTGGACTCTGTTTCAAGAGGACTGAGGGGCCCCACATTGGCTCCTAAGTTCTCACAGTCTTGACAATCACTATTCCTCTGAGGCTGCTGCCGTCAGCCCTCCCAGGCTCCTTGGGGTGCAGTGCAAAGCTCCAGCCTTGCACAGGATTCTCAGGGGCCTCAGCTGCTGCTCACTCTGCCCACAGCCTGCAAGAGTCACAGCCAAGAGGCCCAGGACTACCTGGATGAGCTGAAGCTGGCTGTGGCCTGGGACCGCGTGGACATCGCCAAGAGTGAGATCTTCAGCGGGGATGTGGAGTGGAAGGTACCTCCCTGGCCCTGATTGTAGCCACCTAGGATAGGGACCTTGCTGAGAATGTGGGGCAACTGGTCTTGGGGCTGCTGTCCAGGGCCACTCTGGCCTACCTGGCTTCTGGGTGGGAGTGTTAAGACAAGGCTATTATAGCACACAGGACAGAGTGGGTGGTGCTGGCGAGCCAGAGGCCAAGGGAGGCCGTGGTGAACCTTACTGTTCATGAGCAGGTCAGAACCCTGCTGGTATCAGGTGCACAGAGCCAGTGCCCATCTGAGGGACAGGCTGGGCACCCATGGAGGGACTGATTGTCCCACCTTGCCCCTCTGCCCTGCTGCTCACCGTCTGCTCTCCCCTGGCTGAGCTCAGTCCTGTGATCTGGAGGAGGTGATGATGGATGCCCTGGTCAGCAATAAGCCCGAGTTCGTGCGTCTCTTCGTGGACAACGGCGCCGACATGGCAGACTTCCTGACTTACGGGCGGCTGCAGCAGCTGTACCGCACCGTGGCCCCCAAGAGCCTGCTCTTCCGCCTGCTGCAGCACAAGCTCGAGGAGGGCCGGCTGGCATTGGCTGGCCTGGGTGCTCAGCAGTCCCGGGAGCTGCCCTCTGGGTCACCTGCCTTCTCACTGCACGAGGTGTCCCGTGTGCTCAAGGATTTCCTGAAGGATGCCTGCCGTGGTCTCTATCAGGACGGCTGGGCAGCCAGCCGGAGGACGGTGGTAAGCAGGGCAGGCCTGGTGTGGTGGGGCTGCTTCCCAGCTGGAGGCCGACATCCGTGTCCTCCAGGACAGGGGCCCAGCCAAGAGGCCCATGGGCCAGAAGTGGCCGCTGGATCTCAGCCAGAAAAGCAAGGACCCCTGGCGGGACCTGTTTCTGTGGGCTGTGCTACAGAACCGCCATGAGATGGCCACCTACTTCTGGGCCATGGTGAGCACAGGGCGAGTCTGGACTCCCCGAGTTCCTGGGCAGAGGGTACTGGTGAAGGGTGGGGTAAGACAAGTGGTTCCCTGACATCCCGCATTCCAGGGCCAGGAAGGGGTAGCAGCGGCTCTGGCTGCCTGCAAAATCCTCAAGGAAATGTCCCGCCTGGAGACGGAAGCTGAAGTGGCCCGCACTATGCGGGAGGCCAAGTACGAGCAGCTGGCCCTGGGTGAGTGACAGCTGGGTGAACAGACAGAGACACTGTAGGGAAGGACACAAAGGGGTCTGGCTCCCTCCAGGCCACCTCACAGAGCTGTACGCCCAGGATGACCTTGGTGACCTCTCCTGCAAAAGAGGGCAGTGGGATGGTTCCTCCCAGAGGTAGAGGTCAGCCTTCAAGTCCGAGGGCTGGAGGGTACAGGGTGGAGTCCACACAGCTCCACACCCCGCAACATACTGGCCCTGGAAGGCATATGTGGTACAGTCCTGACAGGCGAGAGGGAAGCCCAGAAGGGACAGGGGTTAAGCAGGGGCCCTGGGAGGCCAGGGAGGGACAGTCAGTGGCTCCATACCGTGTGGGCCAGGGCCTGTCCCACAGTGGTGGCTGGGGCAGAAGTTCCAGCCGGTGCTGGAGCTGGCATCAGCCTGGCCCTGCAGACCTCTTCTCCGAGTGCTACAGCAACAGTGCAGACCGTGCCTTCGCACTGCTGGTGCGCAGGAACCGCAGCTGGAGCAGGACCACCTGCCTGCACCTGGCCACTGAGGCGGACACCAAGGCCTTCTTTGCCCATGATGGCGTGCAGGTGAGGTGCCAGCTTAGGGGTGCTTCAGATGCCAGGCAGGCAGGAGGGCCTAGGCCAAGCCCTGGGATAGTGTGGGGCCCAGCTGACCTCTGTTCAGCCTGCAGCTCCTCCTGTGGCCCGGCCTTGGGGGGCTGGGCAGGTTGGATGGTTTCTCCTGCCTCCAGAGGCTTGTTCTTCCCATTCAGGTCTCAGAGCTGGTACTATTTCCTGGGGCCGATTCTTCATGGGAGGAAACCCCGATGGCAACAGACTCTGCTCCTAGCAGGAGGGCCCGTCATCCACCTCCCCACCAGGATGCAGGGTCTCTTCAGCTGACCTTGATAGGCAGTTGACATTGCCAAGTGCCTGGGGAAAGGGCATTTCTGGCAGAGGGCAAAGAACAAAGTTATGGTGGAGGATGGCCAGCAGGGTTTTTCTACTTTAGGCTTTCCTGACCAAGATCTGGTGGGGGGACATGGCCACGAGCACCTCCATCCTGCGGCTTCTGGGTGCCTTCACCTGTCCTGCTCTCATCTACACCAACCTCATCACCTTCAGGTGGGTTGGACTGTGCAGTAGCCAGGTGCCAGAGTGACCCTGTGCCTCTCAGTGTCTTGCATCCTTGGGGCCCCCCTACCCTGCTGTCCCTGTGCCAAGCTGGGCACAGTGGCCCTTGTCCTTTAAGAGGTCCATACTTCCTTTGCTGGCTGAGTCGCTCACTCAGGGCCATGTAGAGCCCTTTCAGGGTCTGATCATCTCTCTGTGCCACAGCGAGGAGGCCCCACTAAGGACCGGCCTGGAGGACCTGCAGGAACTGGACAGCCTGGACATGGAGCAGAGCTTGCTGTGCAGCCCAGGTCACCGGTAAGGACCCAAGGGGCCGGACAGGAGGTAGGGGGCCAACAGGCAGCAGGAGGCAGAACTTCAGGGCAGAGGCAGGTCCGCAGGGGGCATCACAGCCCGGTGCCTGCCTCTCACCGGGCCTCTTCTGCTCCTTTGTACTGGCACAGGGCAGAAGAATCAGTGGAGGTGCCTGGGGCTCACGGAAGCCGAGGCCCACGAGCTGCCTTCCTGCTCACACGCTGGCGGAAGTTCTGGGGTGCCCCAGTGACCGTGTTTCTGGGGAATGTGGTCATGTACTTCGCGTTCCTTTTCCTGTTTACCTATGTCCTGCTGATGGACTTCAAGAAGCCTCCTCAGGGACCATCAGGACCTGAGGTCACCCTCTATTTCTGGGTCTTCACACTGGTGCTAGAGGAAATCCGGCAGGTCAGTGGCCAGATCACCCCAAGGCCCAAGCTCCACAGTAGATGGCTTTGCAAGGTTCCTGCCCTGACCTGGGGACCCAGGGGTTCCTCACTGTAGAACAAGCACAGCATGGTGCCGCCTGTCTTCACTTTTTTTTTTGTCATTTTGAGACAGGGTCTTGCTATGTGGTTCAGGCTGTGTGCCACCATGCCCAGTCTTCCCACTGTCTTGATCTTTGAACCTGGTCACAGACTGAGCCTGATCCCAGCTCCACTTGATCTTGATCCTGGTCTCCCTAGTCTAACTGTGAACCTCATAACTGATCCCGGGTTCAGAATCCTAAGTCTGTCTTAGGTCTGCCTGAAATATCTACAATTGACCCCAAGTCTGGCCATCAATTTGGTTTTGGTCACAAAGTGAGCCCTGATTCCCATGGCAGACTGAGCCCTGGTCCTCGAAGACCCCAGCCTGGCTAGACAGTCTCAGCAGGTGGGCCTGGGTCACTGCCGTCAGACTGTCCCCCTCTGTCAGGGCTTCTTCACAAATGAGGACACACACCTGGTGAAGAAGTTCTCTCTGTATGTGGAGGACAACTGGAATAAGTGTGACATGGTGGCCATCTTCCTGTTCATCGTGGGCGTCATATGCAGGTCTGTGGCATCAGAGGCCTTGCAGACTCAGGGTGGGCGGAGGTTTCTGCAGGAGTAATGGCCTCAGAAAGCCTGGGGTGGCCTCGGACCTACCTGCCTCATGGCCAGTATGCTGTGTGTACTCGGGGAGTTTCTTTTCCGTTCGGGACACCAGCAGCCTGTGCACCCCTCCAGGATGCTGCCCTCGGTATTCGAAGCTGGACGCACAGTGCTTGCCATTGATTTCATGGTGTTCACGCTACGGCTCATCCACATCTTTGCCATCCACAAGCAGCTGGGACCCAAGATCATCATCGTGGAGCGGATGGTGAGCCCCTTCCTGGGACTCCAATTTTGGGTTTTTGGTGAAATCTAACCAACAGCTCCCCCAGGCATCTGTTGATGTCTTTCCCTTCCTTGTAGATGAAAGATGTCTTCTTCTTCCTCTTCTTCCTGAGTGTGTGGCTCGTGGCCTATGGCGTGACCACCCAGGCCCTGCTGCACCCCAACGATGGCCGCCTGGAGTGGATTTTCCGCCGTGTGCTCTACAGGCCCTACCTGCAGATCTTTGGACAGATCCCGCTGGATGAGATTGACGGTTTGCTCACAGTTGGACGAGCTGGGCAGGGGGCCTTCTGTGCCAGTGTGGAGTAGGACCTTCTCTAGTAGCTGAGTAGGGCCCAGCTCTTACCCGCCTAGGACATATAGTTCTCCACAGAGGCCTGCTGGGAACATGGGGACCTGGTCTGGTGCTGGTTGAGACACCTGTTGCTGCAAGTCCTTGGACCCCCTGACCTTGACCCTGAGCAGAGAACTGAGACATAGGCGACAGCAATGCAGCAGGGCTGCCCTCTAGCTTGGGGAGGCCAATGGGGGAACCTAGCTTGGGAAGTATCTGTGAGGGCAGAGGGACAGACAAGCAGGACAGGGGAAAACAGGACCACTCTGACCATCCCCGCAGGGGCTTTCCTGGGCCAAGATCTCCTTGCCTCCCATACATCCATCAGAACCCTGTACCACCTGATGGAAAGGCCCCTGGGCTTGAGGCCATGCAGCACAGCACCCTTGCATCTGCTGGGGCCCCTGCTGGATGCACATGTCCCCTGTACTTGATGGCCGGTGGAGACTATGGGTCCCATCTCATGATAAGTGGGTACAGTGTGTGTGGGAAAGCCCCTCAGTCCAGGGGCTCGGTGGTGACAGGGAAAGGGGTTCCTGGGAAGGGACAGGACCTGTGTATGCCTCTGTGGTGGCTATGATCAGTGAGGAGAGGGGCCAAGTCCCTAGGGAAGGCGGGGGTGAGGTGCCAGCTCCACAACAGGGATGCAGGGGTCATTTGCTCTAAGTGGTCATTTGCTCTGAGTGGTAAGAGGGCTGGGGTCACGTGGCCATGGGGCCATCACAGCATAATGGGCAGTAGAGTACTGACCCCTACCAACCATCTACAGAGGGGGCTAATGAGGCCAGGCCAAGCATCAAGACTTGTGATAAATATTTGTTAGTGGATGACAACACAGATCATCAGAGCAAACACAGCCTCCAGGGAGACAGGCCTAGAGATTTCCTCTTAATTGGGTGTCTCTGGACCTGTTTCCTGGAGCTGTTTTCTCAGTCCTCCACTCTGGCTGTACTTTTGCTGTTTGCTGTCCTCTGAACCAGGTTTTCCAGGCCATTAGTTTAAGCAGACCCTGCCTGCCCTCCAGTCCCTCTGCCCTCACCATATGTCCCTCATGCCTCAGCCCCATGGAGCCCCACAGGGCAGGAGGTGTGGGGGATTCCCCCTTCCCAAGTGGCTGCATCTCTGGCCATGTCAGCCCAAGCCACATGCCCTCCCCACTAAACTGGAGGGAAAGGTCTGGTTCAGGACCTCTGTCCTGGGATTAGAGCCATGTGCGGAGGGAGAGGAGCCCCAGAAGCTTCTGTGAGTTCTGCAGGGCTGTAGTGGACATGGCCAGAGGCAGAGTCACAGAAAGTACCTGGTCAGGGCTGTCTTACTTATATTTCCTCCAGGCCCTTTGGGCTCAAAGCCCAGGCCATTCACTGAGTCCACTAAGCTGCCAGAAAAAGAGGTATTCTCTAACATATGGCTGACCTGGGAGGGAAACTGAGGCCCAGGCAGTCCCTTCACAGTTTGAAGGTCCTGGGGCCCAGCGCAGCCCTTCCCTTCACACATTGCCAGCTTGTTCTTTTCCTGCTTGGGTCCCCAGAGGCAATTTAGTTTGCATCCCAGCCTGATGGCACCTTCTCAATCTCTCCTTATCCTCCAAGCTGCTTATCAGATTTACAACTTCAGGAACACAGCTAACAGGGTTCAGTCACTTCTCTGGGTTACCAGGAGAGAGGAGGGGCACGACTGAGTTGCAGGAGCCAGTTTAGGGATAGAGGTCTGCCAGGGGTGGTGGTGAAGGCACAGGACTGGCACTCCGCAGCAGGGACCCTTCACATGCCACTCAACTCACCTGAGGACAAGTGAGGAACAAGACACAGATAAAAGTCGCCAGGTTCTTGGGGCCATGGTACACATAGGTGGACCTTGAGAGACAGAGACCCCCAGCACCCCAGAGGGTGAGCTGAAGTTGGTGATAGCACAGAGACTACGGGTGGGGGCAGGTGTCAAAAGACACACTTGAATGCACAGGTAAGGACACCAACAGCTCATGTAGGACAGACAGGCCAGCACTCAGCCTGGGGAGAGTGGGGAAGTGGGGTCAGGGAGCTCCTTCAGTGACCAGGGGAAGCCTGACTCAGTGCTCCTCCAGCCCTGCAAGGCCAATGTCTCCTGACACTGGGGTTAGGGTGGAGGAGCGAGTTCTCTGACAACCAGCAGAAACCTGGTCCTGTCCTCCAGCACTATCTCCCATCCCCTGATGGTCTTAGCTCTGCCTCCAGGGCCATGGGCCCCTGGTGGAGGCTCAGCCAAAGGGAAGATATGGATGGCACTGGGCTGCCTGCCTGTCTGGTTGTCAGGGTGAGGGCTTCCTGTGCTAAACTCAGGCAATCCTGTGAGAGCTGGGACAGTGAGCTGCCTAGCCGGCACCCTGTACCCAGTAGCCTCAGCCCCAGGACAACTGATTTAACAATGCCCCTCCATCTTCCAGAAGCCCGTGTGAACTGCTCTGTCCACCCCCTGCTGATGGAGAACTCATCCTCCTGCCCCAATCTCTATGCCAATTGGCTGGTCATCCTTCTGCTGGTCACCTTCTTGCTGGTCACCAATGTGTTACTCATGAACCTGCTCATCGCCATGTTCAGGTGCCTATGTTCTACCTAGGTCACCATGTCCTTGCTATGTCTACATGGATCCTTGGCACCCTGCTGGTGGGCCCATGGCAATGGGGCCACCCTGGTTCCATAGGCCCTCCTCCCTCCAGAAAGCAGGCTCAGGTCTGCAGAGGCCAGGGCTCCACTGGGTGGAAGGTTCCAGGTGTCTGGGAGAGGAGGGAGCAAAAGGGTCCCCTGTGGCTGGGCTACGCTGTTTCTGAATCTCTCCCCACTGGCCTGGGTTCTGGAACACCTGGCCTGTCCCTACACCATGGGACAAGGTGTGTGCCAAGGGGTGAGGACCAGAGGGATGAGAGCCTGGTATGTGCCCCACAGTTACACATTCCAGGTGGTGCAGGGCAATGCGGACACCTTTTGGAAGTTCCAACGCTACCACCTCATCGTGGAATACCATGGGCGCCCTGCACTGGCCCCGCCCCTCATCCTCCTCAGCCACTTGAGCCTGGTGCTCAAACAGGTCTTCCGGAAGCCAGCCCAGCAAAAGCGGGAGCACCTGGGTGAGGCTGTGGGCTTGAACTTGCTGTCCTGAGGGCCTCTTGGGGGGGGGGCAGGGCTTTGGGGACTCCCTGGACTCTGGACACACTAACCAGAGCCCCAGGCCCAGGGCAGTGGGGCCAAATGTGGCCTGCCCTTGCTTGGTTACCTTGTACCCCAGCAGGGTGCTCCTGCCCTGGAGCTCCCTGAGCTGGTCCAGACCAGGGGTGTGCCAGGCTCACTCTACCCCTTGCCTGCCCAGAGAGAGACCTGCCAGACCCCCTGGACCAGAAGATTGTCACCTGGGAGACTGTTCAGAAGGAGAACTTTCTAAGCAACATGGAGAAGAGAAGACGTGACAGTGAGGGCGAGGTGCTTCGGAAAACTGCCCACAGGTGCGGGGTGGGGAAGCCTACAGCACCCCAGACCAGGTGGACAGGGCTCTGTTCCTGAGGTGGGTGGGGGGTTGGCACCTGGGTCTGGAGGGTGTTGTGAGGAGCCACAGGTCTGAGAAGCCTCTGCCTGTCCTGGGCATCTGGGTACCTGCCATTTTTGGAAACAGGTGGGGGGCGCAGGTACATAGGTCACAGAGGCCTGCCTGCCCTGCAGTTGGGAACGTGGGCCAAGAAGACACATCTTCCTGCTGTGGGACTCTTCCTTCTCTTCATCCCCAACCCTCCTCCAGGGCAGCATCCCTGCTCCTCCTCTGGCTGGTTGGTGTGCCCGGGATAGGGAAGCCCCAGAAATGCTCTGTACAAGGCCAGCCCCAAAGAGCACTCAGTGCTACCAGCCTCAGGAGAGAGTGGACAGGAAGGGTCCAGAGTACCAGATGGAGTCCCCCGGGGGCCTGATGACAGGGGGGCAGTGGAATGCTCCCCCATGCAGAATGCCACATGGCCCTCAAAGCCCACGGTTGCCCCTGCTACTCCACAGGGTGGACTTGGTTGCCAAATACCTTGGAGGGCTGAGAGAGCAAGAGAAGCAGATCAAATGTCTGGAGTCACAGGTAAGCTGGCAAGCAGTCCTCCCCTGTGGGATAGTCACAGAGGGCTCCTGGGGACACAGCAGGTGAGGTCCCAGGGCAAAAACACCTGCCCCAGGTTGCTTGAAGCCAAGTCGCCTCTCAGAGCTGGTCCTACAGTCCCCAGAGTCCCATAATTCAGATCGTCACCATCCACTTGCCATGTACCACACAAGAACCAGGCCCAGAGGGAGGGGACCTGTGGAAGCAGATAGCAGGGTGTGGGGGTCCCCATGTCCTGGCATCTCCCTGCCCCCACCCTCCAGGTAAACTACTGCACACTGCTTCTGTCCTCCATGGCAGAGACGCTGGCCCCAGGTGGTGCCTACTGGAGTAAGTGTGGGGCATGCGGGCAGGGCTCTGCTGACAGCCTGGCCTCCCTAACCTGCTTTGGAGGCCTCTGGTGCCCTTGCTGGCCACTGCTCCTGCAGAGTACAGGTGCCAGCCAGGGTACAAAACCTTGGGCTCAAGACTCCTGACGTCTGGCCCAGTGCTGCCTTTTGCTCTGGACTCCCAGTTTCCCTGGGTATTCCGTGGGAACCCACTCTGAGGACTACCATGTCTGAGCCCTCACTTCCTAGGCCTGCCCAGCTAGCACTTACCAGCTCAGGCAGGGCCTTTCTTCCCACTAGGTTCTCAGAAATGTGCGGGCAGGAGCTGGAAGGTCCCTGCAGGCCATGGAGTGAGTCCTGGTGGCCAGGAGCACCGAGAGGCTGGCTGTCCACCCTCAGACACCTAAGCTACATGGCCTGCCACACCACATGGCTAACTGTCCTGGAGGCCCAGGCCTGGCTTACAAGTAGCCATCATGGGCTTTGGGGACACATCCTCTCCACCTCAAAGTGACAGGCTAATCACACACCACCTGTGCCTGGACAGCCTCATGTCAATGAATCGTCCGTCTCCTGGCACCCCAGGGTGACAAAGGATTGAGGGGTGGCTCTCCTGGCAGGAACAATTGTCCTCTATCTGGAGCCCCACTGGCCTAGACTGGGCAGCAATCTCTGACCAAGCACCTGAAATGGAGGAGTCTGTTCAGGGTGGGGTTGTTTTGGGGCCTGTTCCCGTGCCAACCTGTTTCTGACAGGTGACTGACCTTTCTTTGAAATGCTAGTGGTTACAATTTCTGTCCCTTTAAAATCCAAATGACTTGGGTCACCTGACCAGTTATGTGAGGTATGTCTGGGTATCCACTGTGACTATCAGCTCCTCTCCCTCTCCCTCAACAGCTGGCACAGTGTAGGCTGGCAAAGCAACAGGCTGTGACCCAGAACAGGAGCCGCACTGGGTGTCCACTGCTGGTTTATTTCCAGTGAAGCCTAGGAATATACCCCAGCTGGTCAGAGCCACACCCCAGGACTGTCACCCAGAGATCCCATGTTGTCAGCAAAACATCTGGGGAAAGAGATTATGCTTACTTTCCCTGTGGGGGTGGGGATACAGCTTATTTCTTCAGATTTCAGCCCTGGAATGAGTCAAGACTAGGCCCAACTAGGCCCAAGCAAGAGGGAGATGGGCCCACCCATGCCTATCTTCCCTGCAGCCCTACAGGACCACTCTTTTCTCTAGCACCCAACTTGGGCATGGTTAAGCCCATGGTACACAAAATCCTAATACCTGCCATGAGTCCATCTTCCTACAAGCTGGGCAGGGCACCTGGAGGGTACCCACCCATGATCCCTAAGGTTGCCAGCTCCCATTCCAGCCTCCTTGCAAGGCCTGCCACACACACCCCCCCATGTAGTCTGACTCTGCCCGTCTAGGCATGCCAGAGGCCTGGAGCTAGATGCTTCACCATGAGAAGTACCCCTAGAAGGTCTCTATTTTTTGTAGCTCCCTCAATCTTCTGGATAGATCCCCCAGTGACACAGGTGTTGACTGAAAACACTCAAGAGAGCCCTGTGGGAGGCCACTGAGGGTCAAGTGTAGGGTTGGGATACTAGAGAAAGACAAGAAACAGAAGGCAAAGAAGCCTCACTGCTGCTGTAGATGAAGACCTTAGGTGTGCAGGGCCCAGACACAGAACTGGAAAAAGACCCTAAATCTTTTATTTCCCCACGATGGACATTAGGGATCCAGGGCTTCTGATGTCCCTGCCCAGTCTGACTCCTCCCCAAGTACAGGAAAGGTCTCCGCTCTGGAGGTGGATGTGCAGAGCTGCTGATGCCTCCAACAGGCAGCCCGCTGGCTTCCTTCCAAAGGAGCTGCCCCTGCCCTCCCAGTGGCAGTGACTCTGGCCAGCTCTGCCTGCAGCCTGGTAGGGTGGTCAGGCTGGGTGTTCCTTCTCAGACCCCAGCTCCTCAAGGGCACTGCCCCTATTCCGCAAATGCTCCCGGCTTCGCTTCTTGCTGACATGGAAGCCAACTGTCTCTGCCCCTGGGGAACCTGGTGAGGACCCAGTGTAGACAGCCCCTGAAGGCATCGCCTCATGCAAGCCCTGGGGAGTGCTCCATTCCTCAGCCTCTGGGCTTCCAAGCCCTGCCAAGTGGGTCAGCTCTACAGGGCCCTCACTTGAGTCCCCTTTTGTCAGGACCCTTTTCCTTTCAGGTCTGGTCTCACTGGCCCGGACTGGCTTGGTAAAGACTACTCTCCCTTCACCACAGCTGGAGGGATCCTGGTTGAAGGACAGTGTACAGTCAGTGAGAACTTTGGGGCTCCGGGAGCCCAGGAAGGCCAGGGCAGCGGCCTGATTGCTTTGCTCGCTGGCCTCAGCCACATCCTCCAGGCTGTATTTGGTCCAGCGCTCTGGGTGTGCCACATAGTCAGGAACAGGGGCTACCCTTGGGGGATCAGGTCTCCTATGGGCCCTACCTAGAGTCCCTGCTGGAGGCTGGTTGGAGGGGGACAGGGGGCACTTGAAGTTACCATTGTCACTCATGTTGGTTTGAACTGCAGGGGCTGGCACCCGCCTGGCTGCCCCTTCCAGACAATCAAAGATGCTGTGGCTTCGCTGAGAGAAGGTAGAGCTCATGCCTCGAAGCAAGAAGGGCTGTACTGCAGTGGTGGGAGTGCCACTGGAGTGAGAAGGGGGCTCTTCCGGCTCTGGGTCCTCCTGGGTCTCCCCAGGCTGTACCTCTGGTGACAGTGATTCCACCTCAGCATCACCTGGCCAGCTGAGATTCGAGTCTGAGTCACTAAGAGAGATGGAGTCAGAAGGCAGGGCGTCATACTCTGTCACTTGCTCAGCCTCCAAACCAGGGCAGGGCTCGCCTGATCCTGCCTTAGCCATGTTTTCTCAGACCACACCACACCAACAGTTTGCCTGTGAAGAGAAAATAGTTTAGAACAACTTCCTCCTGAAGACCTACCAGGCACATCAGCAGAAAAAACTGTGTCCTACAAAAGCACAGTCCCTAGCCTCGAAGGGCCACCTGTCACCTGGTGTGCTGCGTGCCTCTGGTGCACAGTGGAGCCCTGGCTAGCTGGGCGTGAGAGCACTCACGAAGGTCCTCGGTGGCAAGGGTGTGTTCTCAGGCCCAGGAGCTGCTTGCTGCGTGGGATCTAGAGAGAGAGAATTAATCATTAGACCTAAGTGTAAATAACTAAGAGGTACCTATATGGTAACACGAGACGCCCCAGTAAGGGTCAGGTATGAGGCCAGATGCTTTCGACCCCTACCTTACTTGACGCTGACAACGGTCTCCAGGGAGGCGTAGCACAACCAGGTGGTCTGCATGGGGCTAGTTGCACCTAGCAGCGAGCAAGGATACAAAGCGCTAATCGCGCGGTCGGCTAGTGCGGTACACACGCCGGACACCAGGCCCGGCACGCTGCCTCATAGTGCGAGAGCGCTCGCGAGGAAAGGTAATGGCGGCCCCCGTGCCTATTCAGGGCTGGCGGCGGATTTGCCCAGGGCGCCTCCGGGCGACTGCAGGGCGCAGCGGCAGACGCTGTACTATCGGGGGATCCAGTTCTCCAGGCCGGCGTTAGCCAGTTCCGGATGCCGCTCCTCTAAACCGGCACCTTGGGGGCCGCGGGTTCCGGATCCCAAAACATTTGGGCCGCGCTCCCCGCCCACACACGCACGGCCCTCTGGGAAGCTGAGTCCTCTACTGCCCCCGTACCGCGGGTCCCCTGCCCAAAAGAACTACATCTCCCACTTCTGGTGTCCGGGCGGCCCCGGAAATCATCACGGCATTACCCACAGAGAGGAAGGGGCGGGGCCAAGATTGCGATTCCCACAATGCTCTAGGGCCACAGCCCGCCGTGGCGCTCGCGCCGCCTGCCGGAAGCAATGAGGACAGCGGGAGCCTCAAACAGGAAGTGCGTCATCGCGCAAGGCAGGCAGGAATCTTTTCCAAGGGGCTTCTGGGTCTGGCTAGAAAAGTCCCGTTCCTTCGCTTGCTCGGTCTCCCTTCGGGGGCGGGGCTGACTAAGACAGAGACACTCGGTGGTGTCAAGAGTCCTGGCTGGCCTCCTTACTCTCACGGACTTGCTGGGCCCCAGCATACCACCTGTTCTCTTGTTCTAGGCTTCGAGGCTCTTCCCCGAGGGTATTGGCCCAGCCAGTTCATGGCAGATGGTGGGTCAGCTTCTCCCTGAAAATGCATTCGACAGGCCTTATGCCCTTGACTACAAGGTGCACCTAATAGTTCCTTCTCTGCCCAGGGTGCTTCAGTTCTCCACTGGGACTGGACAACATATCTAACCTTGAAAGGCAGGAGAGAAGCCTCCGAATCCTAGGGGCCGCCATCCTGGAATCCACTGGGGGATCATGATCCAAAAACCTGTTGTTTGCCCTGCTTTGAGAGAAAGGGGAAGCAGGCCTCCCTCAGCCTTCTGATTTTCTGTATGCCTTTGGCATATTATTCCTCCTTCCCCACAGCTGTACCAGGAATGCATGATCTTGCTTCCAGAAAGCCAATGTGACAGTGACACCCAGGCCACTATAGGCAACAGCCTTGGTCAGATGTCCCTGGAGCCTTGCAGCGCTAGGGGAAGTGAAAAGGAGGCTCCTTGAGCCATTAACAAACCCAGCCTGCATGGAGGAAGGTAAGGGAGGGGAGGATGTAGTTCAGAGCACTTGTCTAGCATGAGAGAGGCCCTGGATTCAACCTCTGGGACCGGAAATAACAAAAAATATGCATCCAAATTAAAAAACCAGCCAGGCAGGAGGAGGATGCTGAGACCCTGCAGTTTCCCAAGTGCAGGACTGGGATTAGTTTGAAAACTGAGGCTGCACAGAGGCTGCTGGAAGCTGGTGATAGGAGTCCCAGCCAGGTCCTGTTCTAGAAGCTAATTAAATGTGCCTGCATCCCCTCCTAGGGGTAAGCAGCCTGCCCTGCAGAGGAGGTGAGGGTGAGGGGCAGACAAGGGAATGACAATAGAACCCGATGATTAAGAGATGAGAGGGAAAACCGTGATGGGGGAGGGATTGCTGAGGCAGTCACTTAGTCTCAGAGCCTCACTTTGATGGGCTGGGCAGGCTCCCAGGCAGCAGGTAAATTTCTTCCCTGCCAGTCCTTTTGAGATATGGCCTGGGCACTGGGCCACTCAGCTTAGTGGAACATTTACAAGCACCTAGACAAGCAGGGAAAACACTTTGAAATGTTCCAGAGGGCGCAGTGCATCCATTCATCACTGTGTGTCCCTTGGGGAAGAAGGAGTGGGGATGTCTTAAAGTCAGTCCCACCCCCAGTACATCTACCAAATTCCCGGGATGGCCACTCCCGCCTCTGAACAAGCATGTCCAAAAGCTGAGGTAAAAGTGATGTCAAAGTTGAAGCAGGTATCCCAGAGCCCTGTAAAGAGCACCCACCACCCTGACAATTCCCCGAGGGTCCACTATGACCAGCAGCCCCTCAAGCTGATTCCCATCAGGCTTAGAAAGTCCAGGGCTGAGTCACAGCCATGCCAGGCTCTCGTCCCTTCAGCTGCTCCCTGGATCTTGCACGATCTGGCACAGGAAGGGGCCCCACAGTCTTGTTAGCATGCCTGATTTTCCTTCTTTATTAAATGTCTGTTTCAAGATGTAATTAAGTTGATGGTGACATGTTAGAAAGGACAGGTGCATTGAAGGCATAAGAGTGCTCACAGACCCAGTTCTTGAAATGGGGGCAGGAGAGAAACAAGGATTAAAAAGGTGAGCCATGCAGCCCACAGAATGGGCCAGGGGTAGGCAGATAGCCCCACCCAGCTTGGCCATGCTGAGCATCTGGGCAAGTGGTCTCTGGGAGTTGCCTGGCTCAGCAGGCAGAACTCTCCAGGGTGCCCAGAGCCACCTCAAGGTCTAGGCCAGCTCCACCCCCACACACGCCACCTACAAGTGACGCCAGCCCCAAAAAGTAATAGGAAAGTTCAGAATGAAAACAAAACCTCAAAAGTAAAAAGGCTAAGTGTAGCAGAGTAATACCGGAAACATTATATACACAGGCAGCAATGCCCGCAGCAGCCTCCGGGTCACTCTGGGGGCACTGCAGGGGTCCCAGCAGCTGGAACTGCAGGGTCTCAGTACACAGAGCTGTTCCGGATACCACAGCACAGCACCATGCTCAGGATCATCTCAAAGATCTGTGGGAGGAGAGTGCAGTCAGCACTACTGGAAAGGAGAGGCAGACAGCCGAGTCCACGCTCACCCCACTCACCATGATGACAGCAACCACTATGGCTGCGATGCCAATGAGGTACAGCTTCCCGGAGAAGAGTTCGTCGATCTTCTTGTGGCAGTCATCCTGCAGGGGTGGCCAATGAGTGATCAGAGGCTGGCTTAGGTGACCAGACCTCTGCATGGTGTATACCTTCCACTGGCTTAAAGCAAAACATGGGATCTTCTGCCTGGAACTGTTCTATCTCGAGCTCATGATTATTGGGATCACTAGTGCCCTAGTCACTGGTGTGATAGATATCCGTGGAGGGTGACAGGAGATCAGGACCCTCGGTGCCCACAAATATGAGTGGAGCCATTATCTCCTAGATCTCTACCTCCCTATAGAACCTGCCCACAAGCCCTGCCCAGCTGTCCCAGCAGAGCAGCCCTGACATGGGCCTTGGTTCCATCTTGGTCCACAGGGAGCCCTATGTAGACCACCCAGAAGCCAGGACCCCACCCAGGGATGTAGAAACGGGGCTTCTGCCCCACCCACTGTTGTGTACCTTCCATAAGGTATTTATGAAGGCGGTGCCCGATGGACACAGGTTGTTCCTCAGCACCGAATTGGACAGCGCAATCAATGTGTTGGAGCCACAGCAGTTGAGCTGTAGAGATAAGAGCACTGTGGTCATCTCACCAGGCAATGGAGAAGAAAAGGCCACAGATGTGCATTACACTGCTATCCCGCGTGCACCCAGGGCCAGCCTTCCTCCCCAGCCAGAGGCACTGCTCAGACAAACCCACTGGCCAGGTTCAACAGGTTCCCACTAGGAACTAAGTCATAGAGGAGACCCCTCTACCATAGACAGATCCTGAGGTCTGGGCTGAGGCAGGACTCCTCCAAGAAGGCACACCCCACCCCACCCCACCTGGGTCCTGTAGCCCATCCCTGCTGGCCTAGCCCAGCCAGCCACACCGTCTCATGGAAAGTCTTCACCACAGCCTTGGCGTTGTTAGCATCGTCATCTACCACAGCCTGCTGCAAAGCCTGGTCGTAGAACTGCTTCACGTCCTTGGCAATCTGGGGGAAAGGCACAGACACATATAGTAGGGACCGTCCCAAGGGGAGAGCCCTGTGCTCTGAGCTTTGACTCTTCCACAGAGCTGAGGATCTTCCTTCCAGGCACCTCCCAAGAAGAGTCCAGAGAGCCCTCCCTGATAGCCATGGGCTAAGGTGACCCATCACCAGTGACCTGGGCAGTGCTCCTCGGAGGCTCACCTGGTCCTTGTTGACGAAGCCCCAGATGCCAGCGGCCACTTCACAGGCAAAGAGGATCACGAGGCAGGTGAAGAACTGGGAGCAGGGAAAAAGAGGGTAGGCTGTGGGTAGGGCCCAGGTCAGCATGGAGCTGCCTTCTAGAGGACAGGCCCATGGGACCAAAAGGTGTGCAGGAGAAAGCTGGCAGTACCTGCCAACCCGTGTCCCCCTCCAGAATAAGCCACATGGAGCCATGAAGGACAGAGCTTGAAATGCAGCCCCTGCAGCAAGATGTTGGTGTGTTCACCCTCCCCATATTGCCTGCCTCTGCAGGATGGCCAGCTCGAGCAGGGAGGGTGAGGCAGGATATCGGGGTGTCCACAGGTGACAGGCACAGGTGGCTGCAGCCCCTTGGCCGTGATAGCGAACCTTTTAGAACTTTCAATGGACACAAACAGCACTCTGAAGCATGACTGCCACAGGTTCACTACTACTGCCCTAGGGAGATGTTGGCACAGCCACCCCCACCCAAACTGACCAGGCCCTGGACAATACAGCTGGGCTTCTGCTTCCTGCTGGCAGGTGATATGCCCAGGGACACCTGATGCTGGCTTCAGAGTCAAATTCAGTCCCTACAACATTTATGGCTTTTTTTAATGAAAGAAAAAAATCTTTTTTGTAACTGAGCTATAGGAGCTAGACATGAAAGAGATCAACCACAACCGCATTTAATTTAAGATACAACAGGAAAACCAGAAAGCCAATACTCTGCAAAAGACTGCTCAGTGACCCCCTGGTCCAGGTTAGGGGGGCCCTAAGTGCCATATCCAAGGCTTGTTGGGCTGAACTGAAGCCCCTGGATCTGCCCCGATGCCTACTCCTTGGCCTGCTGGATCCTACTTCTTAGTTCCAGCCCAGAACCTGCTGACCTCCCAACCTTACCGTCCCCAATAGGCACTGGGACTCCTGGATGGCCCCGTAACAGCCAAGAAAGCCGACAAACATCATCACAGCTCCCACAGCAATGAGGATGTAGATGCCTGTGCGAGAGAAGGAACCCCGGTGAGTGGCCACACACATACTGTGCCCAAGACATGCATGTGCGAGGCACTGGCACTCACTGCTAGCTCGACCTGGCCACTTGAGCTCTGTCAGTGCCTCAGTGTCCTCTTCCATGGCACAGAAGGGGACAACTATGCTAAAGGGAGGACTGGATGATACTTAAGTACCCAGAGAACACTGTTGACAGTGCTTCACAGGGCTCTTCCACAGTAGGGCTCACCACCCCTACCTGCGTCTGTTCCCAAAACCTTTAGGACTCATAAAAGGGGCTGAGATGGACCACCCCATTTTAGTTTAAGTGACATACCAGGAGCTTTATGATGGGCCCGTTGATAGTGGGTAGCTGTGCAGGGAGCCCCAGTATTGGTATATGAAGGGAAATAAGGTGAAGGAATTCTATGGTGGCCACACAGCAGCCCCATCCCACCTAATCCCTGCTCTTACAGACACCAGCATGTGAGTTGGGGTACCCTGTGTGGTTGCACAGCATGGGGAGGCCTTTGGGCAGGAGTCTACTGCATGAGGTGGCAGGGCAGCTTGAGACTGTGCAGGCACCAGTCCACCCTCGCCTGCCCACACCTACAGGCTGGGCAGTGGGGTCCTGGGGAGGCAGACAGGGTCACCAAAGCATAGGGGCACCTAGGACCAACATGTGCAGTGTCTCATTGCCCACAGCCCCATTTCTCCCTTGGGAAAGGCCACAGAGTCTCTGCAAGGGCCCTCCCAGTTCCTCATCCTTTAGCAGACTCAGCCCATCCCCCGATTACCATGGCAATGCTGCTAGGCAACCCAAGCCTCCTTGCATAGAGCCAGGCCCATTGTCCCCTGCCTGGCCAGCTCAGGAGGGAAGGAGCTAAGGGGCCAGGATGCACCACCAGGCTTCGAAATGGATTGGATCTGGGGCCTGGCCTTGGTGGCCAGCATTGAACACTTAGCCAAGGGGAAACTTCCCACCAGGCGCCCCTCACAGGTGGCCCTCCACTTGAGTACCAAAGCACACTTAGACTGGGTTTTTTTTTTTTTTTATTTCTTCCTCTTTGGTACAAGGGATTGAACTCATGACCTTGAGCTTGCCAGGCAGGCACTTATGCTGCTGAGCTGAATCTCCAGCTTTAAACTGGATTTTGACTCCTCAGGCTCCCAAATCCCTGACCTCAAAATGAGGCGCAGCACCCACCCACTGTGTCATTAGGTCATGCTCAAGATCCAAGCGTGGATTGTCTTTCTCAGTGTGGAGGATCCCACAGGGGTAGGAGACCCAAGCTGCTACAGTCATAGGGCTGCTCACAGCTTCTTGGCAGCAGCCTCACCCCAGCACAGCCTGGAGCCCTTTGGCATTTCCCAGGGTGCCGAGGGAGCCAGCCAACTCTCCATCTTCCCAGCAGTGGACAAAGCACCTTTGTGAAGGACTGCGTCTGCTCCCAGCAGGGTCCAGCCCAGAGGCAGCAGGGATGCCAGAGGCCTGATTTAGGAAGGGCAGAGACTTGGGGAAGATCTGAGTGGCCCCATCCATGCGGCACAAGCAAAAGCCCCAGGCTAGGGGGTGGTAGGCGCCACCATTCAGCTCCCAGCCTGCCAAGCAGCCCAATGCCTAGGGCTGTTCCCCCAGCACCCAGGAGGCCATAGTCAAGGAGAGGTGGGAAAGTGGTTGCAGAGCAAAGAAAAAAGGGAGAAGCACCTGCTTCTGATGCCACTCTGCCCTGGCACTAGGGGCCTACCTGGCATCTCCTCTTCTATGGTACCACTGCCCAGCAGGAGCCTTGGGAGCTCCTTGGTGTCTGTCCTGCCAAGGGGCCTAAGGTGGGAAGGAGGCCAAGGGGAGCTGCAGCCCGTCCCACAGGCCCTGCCTTGCCTGTCTGCTGCACTCAGCTCAGCCTGGCTGGCCCCACCTGAAGCAATCCAAGCCTTCCACTCCTGTCCAGCTGTGCCAGACAGACATGGACCCACACAGGGACTGCTCCAGCTACAAGCAGAGCTGCCCTGTTCTGGCAGCCTGACCTACCACAGGGTCACTGTACCTCCCTCCCTGTAAGAACACATGGCACAGGAAGAGTAGGGTGGGAATAGACTCCTCCTACTATGGACAGGAGTATGACAGACATGCAAGGAGAAGACCTCATTCTGATGGCCAAGGATGCACTCACTGACTTGTTCTGGAGGGCAAGACCAGGTTTTCTGGAAGGCCCTTTTGGGCTCCAAATACTTCTGATTATCATGCAAAGGGGAACAAGTCAGGTGTGGTGACACAGGCTATAATCCCAGCACTTGGGAGGCTCTGGTAAAAGAATCGCCATGAAGTCAGAGGCTAGCTTGGGCATGTGAGTTCCAGACCAATCTGAATTGCATAGCAAGACCGTCTCAAAAAACCAAAAAGAAAAGGGAACAAGAGGCCAAAGAGAAGATTCCTGGGGGAGACCAGAGAATACTGCTCAGGTCTTCTACACTCTAAGGTATGGTGCAAAGCCAACAGGTTGGCTTTTGAGGTACCTGTCTAGAGCACCTAGCTGCCACACAGGGGCTGAGGGTCCTTGTCTCCTGTGAGCGCACCAGAGCACCAAGAAGGAATAGGAACCCGCCAACCCTGTCTGCACAAGGGATGCCCCCAAGGAACAGCTGGGCCCAGAAACACAGTCAGCCCACCTCTAGGGAGTACAGGGGCCATCCTGGCCATGCTGTCTGGACCCAGCCCTGTCTATTCTGACTGTGGGAAGACAGAGAGGATCGGGGCAGAAAGGAGAGAAAAGAATGGCACCCCTTGGGTTGCCCACTCATGGCTGCCCTGCAGTGACCGGCTAGGGGGTATGTGGCCTGTCAGGAGCCCTACTCAACAGCCAGGTCCATCTTCCAAGTCAGTGGGCAGAGATGGGGCTCCACTTGGGATGGGGAGGACCCTCACCAGGCCCCAGCTGGAGCCCAACCCTGAGGCTCCTCCTTTAAAGGGCAGGAACATCTATCTATCTCACTCACACTTCAGAGCTCCAAGGGTACCCTGCCCTCCCCCAAGACAAGGTGGAAAGCTGGGCCCTGCAGTGGGCCTCCCCCTGGTCATCCCCACTCCTGGGCTCCACCCATGCTCACAGGCAGCCTAATAAGGCAGCCTACCAAAGCAGCAAGGTATGGAGGACTGTGTGGGGGGAGGCGACTGAGTCACACTGTCCTCCCTAGCTCCCGCCTCCAGCTGCCTCAGCTGCTCCAGGGCAGGTCAGGCATCCAGCCCCACCCTGCCTGGAAGCCTCCCCAGAAAAGCCATATAGTTATAATAAGCATGGTGCACTGCCCCTTCAGCCGCCCCCACCCCCTCCTGTTTAGGCTTGGTCTCAAGTGATTTGGTCCCCTGCCTCTCCACCAGGCTACAGGCCCATCTGCAGCCCAACACTCAAGCTCCTGGAATCTCTTTCTGGCTGGCTGCCTCCTGGCCTAAGTACCAGGCCCTGCCTCCCCCTGGGAGCCCTCTCTGCTGACCGCTTGTCTGCAACTGTGTGCCTTGACCTGTTGGTCAGACCTTGCCCTCGTGTCACTCACCCACATAGAGTGTCACTCACCCACATAGAAGGTGTTGGGTGCCGGCTTGTTTCCCAGCTCCAGGTAGAGCAGGCTGGTGGTCTGCGGGTCATGGCGCAGCCACAGGGCCACACCCAAGATCACGCCTCCGGCCAGCTGGGGGAAAGAGTAGGCACAGTGTTATGAGTAGCCCGGACATGGTGGGGTATGTGACAACCCACCACTCTGAACATCCTGAGCAGGCAGCTCTAGGCAGGAAGGAAGGACTCTTAGTTGGGCCCACTGCTGGTTTGTCAATGCCATCCCCTTGAGGACAGCAGCCCTTCAAGCCACTCTGGGATGCAGCTCCAGGGTAGACTGCCAGGTCAGAACCAGGACATGTCTGAGACTTACTTTGTTAGTCTAGTGTACCCCAAATACTGAATGGACAGAACTACACAAGATTTTTATTGTTTTCGCATTCCAGGTTGACTAGAGGTGCTGTTTTTATTTGCTAAATCTGGACAGAGGTCACAGCAGGACCTGGACACCCAGGGAAACCCGGCCCTCTTCCAAGGGGTCCTTTAGTGTCTGTCAGAGGCGTGCTGGGAACCCCAGAGTGGGAACTCCAAGTTTTGCTGCCAGGAGGAAGGATGGAGTTCTGATGCTGCTGGGGCCCTTGTGGGACTTGCACCATCCAGTGAGCTGCAGGGCATGGCCTGTGATGACCTGTGAGCAAATCCATGCCACTGTGACCCTGGGAAGGGAAACACTGGGGACAGGAGTTTCAGTACCCATACGAGAGAGATTCAAGTGGGTGGCTTGGGCTGCCACAGACAAGGGGGATAGAAAGGACTCCGCTCCAGCTGGCATGCAGGGTACAGGGTCAGCCTGAGTTGTTGATCCTGCATACAGGTGATCATTTCCAGCCAGGTGAAGTCTGCCTTTGAAGGCAAGGCCTGGCCCATTCCTACTGTCCCTTCCCCTGGTCCCTGTCCACTAGACTAGGGGCCAGTCCACTGGTGGTGGTAGTGCCGGAGGTCACCCTTTGCCAATTCCTGGTACTGGTACCATGTGGGGCACTTTACAGAAACACAGCATCCAAAGTGACTGAAAACCCTGAGTCCTGCCTGCTTCTGCCTCCTCCGCCCTAGGGCTTCTTGGCTGATGCTTTTGGATACTCCTCAGGAGGGCAGGTATCTCAGAATAACAGGTGTGGGGGACTTGGTCCTCTTCAGATCTTTCTACTATCCATCCATGCCTCCCCAGGTATGATATGGCTCCACAGACCCTCCAAAGCCAAGGTCACTGATTCTGGAATAGGGACAATCTGCCTGGGTCCTTGATGAGGGGTGGGCAGGAATACATTATCCCAAATAGTTCAGAGGCAGCTGGTCAGGCCTTTATCCTGCTGCCGTAGGAGGACACAGAGACCTGCCCGGCACCATCCTAGCACACGAGCTGTAGCTACTCATGGATAGGACTGCCTAGGGAGGTCACAAGAGTCAGGTTGGTGTCTCACAAGAGAAGACACTGCCTGGCTTCCCTTGACAACTCTGTCTTCCTCTTGCACATGCTCTCACACAGGCTCTGCCCCGGCCAGGCCCTGTGGGGTTCCTGAAGGAAGTAGCATGAGGACATAGCCTAACAGTCTTCAAAGGAGACTGGTGAGCTGGGGGGCAATGGTGTTCCTCCAACAGAAATAGATACAGAGGATGATTTGCTTAGAGTTTGATGGGAAAGCCTGTATCAAAGAAGGTTACACTTCCCAGCCTCATCCTCCTATTGTAAGTAGGGGCTAGCAGCTCACCCCATAAAATGCACAGGGTTGCTAGTCAAAGAGGAAGCAGAACAGAAACACGGGCCTGAGAAAAACACCTGGTGATTCCAGTTCCCACTTCTGTGGTCCTGGCTGGCAAGCAGGGCCCTGAGGGGAGGCAGATGTGCTTAGGAAGATGTATAACTGTCCCGAGGAAAGCCCTGAGCAAGCCCAGGGATTCCCAGGCAGGCTGACTTCGGTCCCCACAGAAGTGGGGTGGAGGAGGAGCTGTGGGTTTTCAAGCTACGTCACCTCACCATCCAAGCCAGCACCAGGGCACTTTCCCCCCAGACAGGAGGCCAGGATTCACTTTCCCTGCATCTCTCCCTTGGGCCTGAGCTGTAGTTTCTTAGCCCCTCTTCTGGAAGCTGAACCTCACTTTCAAGAAGCTCAGTCCTGTGTTTTCACATGCTAGTCTGGTGAAGGATGGGCTCCACTACCTCACCACCCCACGAGGTGCTGACCAAGGCTGTTCCTCATTGAGCAAGTAGGGTACATGCTACAGCTTGTAGTGCACCTGCTGGCTCAATCAGAATGGCCTAGCAGCTGGGACTCTGAGTGTGCCCCACATATGACAAGGCCCCAATGATGCCAGGGGTCCTCTGGCTTCCCAAATCCTAAGGAATAGCCAGTTCTCTGTGCTTCTATGCCTGTCACACTGTCAAAAGGGCAGGGAAAGCCTGGGACAGTGTGGGGGAGGCAGGACAGTGAGAGATAGTGGGCAGTCCCAGGGAGCTGTGTCAAGCTCTCTTGAGCAGGCTGCCATCTGCGGCTCCAGCGGAAGAGGTGACAGGCTGAGTTACCCTGGCAACTCTGGCTTCCTCGTGGTTTTGAAGACGTCATGTATTTTGTTTGGAAACTGGTCCACAGGTTGCTCTGAAAGATGTTCCAGGCCTGAGAGGTAGCAGACAGGAGGAACCCTGCCCTGTCACTCCCTCAGTGGTCACAGATAACTGCAAATCCTGACACAGCCCCAGAAACCATGGGGGTCTCTGGGAGGTTGCCACCTTCCTGTGCCTCAGTGTCCCAACCTGTGAGAAAGCTGAGCATGCTTAGTGTTGGTTCAAGGGCTGCTCTGTCATGTTGACCCTGGCTGGGCAGGGATCATCTTCATCTTCCCTGTGCAGCCTCCCATGGGTGAAGCTGGGCACAGCACCCTTTTAGGGCAATGCTGTCCTCACAGAAACCTATGGGACATCAATGCTTAGCTTGCTCCAAATCCCTGTAATGGTGAACTTTAGGCTCATTAGCCACTTCCTGCTCTGTTAGGAAAGCAGGCTTTTGGTTCAGACTCCAGAGTAGTGTGGAGAAGCTATCTCTCTGTGAGCCCCTAAACCCAGTCTTCATGCCCAGTGATAACAAGGGGTCTGATGCAGGCTACAGTGCAGGGGTGAGCCTGATCTAAAAATAGAGGCTTTGAAACCTTCAGTTAGAAAAACAATGGGCCAGAAGGAGGAGGAGGGGGTGGTGTAGGGCTGGGAGAGGCAGTTGGGACATGCCTTGCCTACCTCATTGTCCCAAGGGCACTGGGCCACCCCACAAGGCCACTGAGAACAATCAGAAGATTTTCTGGTAGGGTAATAAAGACTGTCTGCTACTGTGCTGGCAGCTGCCCAAAGACCCCCATCCTTCCAGCCCCTGCTCAGCTCCAGAATGGGACTAGGCACCCAGTGGAGGGGGCCTTGGGTAGGAGCCATGACAACAGTGGAGAAACTGAGGCAATGGGGAAGGAATATTCCCCTAAGGCCATCTACAAGTACCTCTTGTCTTTGAAAGTGTACCTGGCACAGGCCAGGATAGCAAGAGAGTAAGTATCTAATAAGGACTAGTGGCCAAATATATAAGGAGCTCCCAAAGCTAAATGGTAGGAAAGCCAGCCACCCACGTTTTAAAACACGGAAAAGCCCCATCCAGAATACAGAGGGCACCTAAGCATTGGAAAGGGGGATCCCTTTTCCATCTAGACCACCACACAAGAGCCACAGCCAGACCCCAATCTGCCCACTCCTCTCACTAAACCTGACATGACTTTCCTCCCAAGGCAGCTGGCCTCTTCAGTGCCTGTCACACTCCTAAGAGGATGAGGAGGGCCCAGAACAGTGCCGGGGAGGCAGGAGGTGGGAGGTGGGAGATAGCGGGTCACCACAGGGAGCAAGTAAGTTCTGATGAAGCGCTGTACGGTCATTACTTAGCTCCTTTGTATCCCAGGGACCCACCCAAGAGAAAGGAACACAACCTCATGCAAGGCTCAGGGACCAGTGTTTCCAGCAACTTTGCATCTAAAAAAACTGGAGTGTGTCTGCTAGAGGGGTGACTGAATGGGCCTGGGGGTCCATCTTGCAGTGGAATCCACATCAGTGAAAAAGCAGGGATACTCACAGCTGCAGACACATCCTTAAATGATCGCGCTGGGAAAAGAAGAGTTTGCACCTTCTGCCTCTATTTATGTGGATGCAGGAGAAATGTGAGTATCTATTAAGAAAGCACAGTGGTCCCAGAGAGAAGGGGCGGGGCGATTACAAAGGGCCCACAGGCCAAGAGTCTAAATGTATCGAAACTTACTACACTGCACACTTTGAATGTACATATGTGTAACACCTTAGGTCAATCACTTCTAAATAAAGTTGTGTAAAAACACCTAGTCCCCAGAGACTAAATGCAAAGGGAAAGAGGGCCCAGCTGCTACCGTGGTGCAGTCTCCCCACCTAGGAGTGAGAGTCCCTGCTGGCCAGCAGCAAATGTCTGGACATGCTAGAGTCCTGTCCACAGACCCAAAGTTCTAGGGTAAACGAAAGTCGGAGACTGCAATCACTAGGGAACCTGCATGCCAATTAAACAGAGTCAGCCCAGGATCTGGGGAAAATGAGAGTGTGGTGCTGGACAGAGGCCCAGGTTCGAAGGCCAAGGGTGGCCAAGCCCCAAGTGCCGAGTTCTGTTTGAGCTGGCCTACCTCAGGCCAGTCTCGGCTCCACACTTCCAGCAACTTCCTTTGTAAAATGAGTAAACAGAGGTATAGAAGCTAATGTACACAGACTGTTACCAGGATGCCATATCTAGCTGTCGACAATGGTGACATTATGATCCCTGGTATGTCTTACAGAGAGCAGAATCTGGGATTTCTTCATTCCTCTTTTTCCAGACAGAATCATATATTGGTTTTTGGGATCACCAGACACCAATCTGCTCAACTCTGGCCACCTGCTCCTGTGGCCCAAGCTACTCCCATGTCCTAAGGTACTACCCTTGGCCTACGGTACTCCTACTCAGGGCTGAGAGGAATGGAGGAAAAGGCCCAGGTAGCAGGTCTGGGTTCCTAGAGGGCTCTGTGCAAGAGAACGGAAAAGAGTATAGGATTCTG